ACTACACAAACGCACACAACCATTGCATGAGGCTGTGTGGGGTTTTAAAAGTGCATTTTCTATCCCTTTAACATCACTGTTTCTGTCCTCATTTGTACGCACTCCATCTCCCGGTTATCGCTTCCCATCTCGGCGCAGATTTTGGCGCCCACTTCACGTCCAAAATCGAATCACAGAGTCTGACACGGGAAAAAGCAGATTCGCGACTCCCACGAGTTTAAAAAAAATCTCGAGGAACTTTCCTGAATTTATAAAAAGTGAAACCAAACACAAACACACACATTCGCACGCCAAAAAACATAAAAAAAACAAAAAAAAAACACATACTACACATGTAACTGCTGACATACTGAGGAGGATTCAGCCTTGCCCCTTTGTACAGCCTTGAGACTGTTATGTTATAACCACTAATTCTACTATATATGTGTATGTGTCATTATTATTCAAGTTTGTTACTTTTTTGCAGTTTGCAAGACAGAGAGAATGCTGAGTGCCTCGTATTTATTCATTTACCGTCTCTGATTTATTTAAAACCCCTCGCTCCCCCGACCCCGAGATAAAACACCCCACGTGGGCAGGCTAAGAGGAGACGAATAACCTTCAACATTAGGAAAGGTGACCCTCCACTCCCCCAACCTCCCCTCCCCAACCCCTTCACCCTCCCCCACAAACCTCCCTCTCACCCTGAAATGGCATGCACTGTTTTGTCTCTCTCTCCCAGTCCCCCTTTTGGACCAGTCAAAAAGGGAAAAATGGGGTTTCTACGGTGTCATTTCCAGACACTTTTTGGGCCGGATGAGATTTTTTTCAGCATGTTTGTTCAGCCTGCTCAATCTGGTGTCAGTTTGTGAGTTTCTCCCTCTCGTCTCTCTTTTATCCAGCAACACAAGGCTACATGAGACATGGAGAGCAGTGTAAAATAAACGCTAGCTTTTAACTCTCAGTGGATACCGAAAAACATCCTGAGTTTATGAATGATATAAAAAGAAACTCTCTGCTACTGTATGTTTTATACTTCGCACCCAGTGGCATCATCATGTTGTGACATCATTGCATGCCCGAGCATGCTCTTTCTTACTCTTTGGTTTATGAGGTTGTTTCGAAGTTAATGTGGAGAAAATAATGAAATGTTTGAAATTAATGAGTGTTGGTGTGGTTATTACTGCTGTCTCGCCTGTTCAGTCCAATGGTTTGGTGTTTGAGGGATTAGTGTGTAACATTTAGGAGGATTTATTAGAAGAAATGCGATATAATATTTATAGGTATGTTTTTATTAGTGTAAAATCACCTTAAAATAAGAATAGTTGTGTTTTTGTAACTTTAGAATGAGTCCCGTTTTAAATCCTCCAGTTTGGCGTTACGGTCGTCACCACGGCGGTTTGTAAGAGCCAGCGGAGGTCACGTAAAGCTCAGTTCAGGTGCTCTCATTGGCCGCGGAGTTTCGACTCGTCTGTAGCAGGAAACGATGGCGAATCGTCTGCTCACACAGGATCAGGTATTCCAGATAAACAGTAAAATGTGTTTGTGAACAGATTTGAGGAGAGAACGACAGAATCTGGATCCATATCTGATCAGCACTGTTTGACAGTTTGATCTGAGTTTGGTGCGTTGAGCTGGACGGACTCACTGAGAATGAGCTGTCAATCACAAGGTAGCCCCGCCCTAAAGCATACCCTGCTTTATGGTCTGTTTTACTCTAAATGGGACCATCAGTTACTAAATGAACATCATGCTGTATGGAAGAAGACTGAAACTAGAGACTGAGACCAGAAACTCATCAGGAAACTGTTTACTGAGGTCATTAATCAACTGAGGAGTCGACTCATTTCTCCATAAGACTGAATGGTATCTGTGTGTTATTGCAACCAGTGGAGCCGCCCTCTGCTGGTTGTTACACAGAATGCAGGTTTAAGACACTTCACAGAAAAAACTCGAGGCTTCAAAACGCTTCTCCACAAACCAATGGGTGACGTCACGATAGATTCACAGTAGGTTAGCTGGCTCCAACTTTTCCCAGTCTTTATGCTAAGCTACGCTAACTGTTTGCTGGCAGTAGCTTTATATTTATTTATATTTACAATTCCTTTAAAAACTATTAGTCAAAATCTCTAAAGGTCTAGTGTGTCACAGTGAGGAGGATCTATTGTCAGAAATATATTATTTACAGGTATGTTGTAATTTCTTTAAATACTGTTAATATAATATTTAACAGAAACAACACTTATTATTATAGTAATAAAGATTTATAGATACTTATAGTTTCTAAGTTATCAGTGAAAGGTGAAGTGCTCCTCTCTCTCTCCAACGCTTTCATTTAAGCAACATCTCAACACTGGGTGAATATCAGTTCATACAAGTATCTGAACATTTAGTTTCCTGGAGTACAGAAGACAAATATTAATCGGTACGTTACTGCAAAGTCAAAATCAAGAGGTCGAATCCTGTGAGTGGACGCAGGTCTGTCATCCATCCATCCAACAGCTGAACACAGAAACAAGGTGAGTGACGAATATCGTACAAAACGCAGTCGTAACTTTATAATTATGGAAACATTATATAGAAGACTGACATACACACAGTAGAGCTATATGTCAATGTTTCATCTAATTATGTAAAGAAAACTAAATTAAACTGTTTCCTTTCATAAAATATATGATTGTTAAAAAGGAGCAAATACTCAGTACAGACATAGAATTATATAAAAAGGTTATAAAACCATCAGAAAACTCATCTCTGATCAATATTCACAGGAAATAAATTGAAAAAATGTTATAGTTGATCAGTTGTTCTCTACTGTTAATGTCCATACAATATAGAATTAATTATCTTTAATCTGGAGCTTTAAGCAGGTTTTAATATGAGCAGTGGAAAGTAATAAATGTCTTATAACACAATGTTTTGTTTTACTGTATTTTAAAATATCATATGGACAGAAGTATGTGGAAACTTTACACCCATAACCTTCATTAATCCAGTGGTTCGAGGGGTTTTAAAATATACACACAGTGTAATATCTCAGCATTTTATTTATTTACGTAAAGAAAACTAAATTAGATTATTATTTAAGATCTAAACTTTCAACACTTGAACACAGGTTATATTCACAGAAGTTAAAACAACCAAAAAGCAATGAGAAGAAAACACTGAATTCATCAAAAAATCTTTTTAGGAATGTTAAAAAAATAATATAAAATCCAAAATATAGACAGAATTGTATAAAAAGTTCCCTAAACAGGAAATAATCTGCTCAAAAATCATCCAAATCTCTGGTTTTACACAAACTTCCTGCAGTTACTGAGTTCACTGTTTAGGTTCATTGTTCAGTTGTTCTGTATTATTATTGTTATTTATTGAATAAAATATAGAAAAGGGTTCCCCACTCTTCTGGATTTTATGTGTTTGACTATTTTATTATACAGATGATTTTAATGCATCATTTTTATACAAAGGTGGAAAAAGTATTCAGATATTTTACTCAAATAAAAGTATTCCAAATATATTTTTAAAATTCTATAAGTTAAAAACATGCATTTAAGTTTCATCAGTTACGTTTACTTTAAGTATGAAAAATAAAAACACATTACTAAATATTACTTTATATTATAATATTAGATTATTATCACTGATGCATTAAGCAGTATTTTAATGTTGAAGCAGGTGGAGCTAATTTTAAGTATTTTCAATATTGTTTGATTTACTGAACTACAATTAATAATATTTTATTTTCTCATTATAGGTTTTTAATATATGAGAACTGTAAAGTAGGTGATAACTAAAGCTGTTAAATAAATAAAAAAGTTCCGTATTTAAGCTGAAAAGTAGAAGAATAAACTAGGATTTTATTCCACCACTGCTTTTATAATAAAATTATGTACTATAGATACAGAAATTAAGGATTATAGACTTTCTTCGTGGCCCCAAAAGAAATAAAATACACTTTATTAATCCCACTCAAGAACAAATATGACTCAACAGAAAGATGCTTATTGAAGATTTGTTGAAAACAAACAGAATTATTTCTCCACCCTCAGGCGAAATCCCAATAAGTTCCTTTACTTGAAGGTGTGTGACCTCCGCAGCAAAAACAAACAGCAGAATATATTTTTTTTAAAAGAGCTGCTGCAGAAATATGAGTTTTTGATTATGTATTCAAGATATAATAATAACATAATAATAAGTGAAATTGTTAAACTGTCAAAAATGTGTTAAAAAGGGGAAATAACACATGTTATGGCCACATTGCAAACTAAGGCTTTAATTTAAAAAAGACTGTATTTGAACACAATGTCTTTGGAAATAAAACACATTTATTCTTTCTCATGCCTCCTTTAGATGTTTCTATTCAATGCTTTACTAATTTGCCACAATAATGTAATGTTTTTAAGTTAAAATATCTAAATTTGGGGGCTTTTTCCAGGCAAATACTGATGATATATGTGGCTGCAATTAAATCCTCCACATCAATATTTATATTCTATATACATATATACACACATAAATACATATATACTTATATTATGGCTGCATAATAATCTAAATACATATATACTTATATTATGGCTGCATAATAATCTAAATACATATATACTTATATTATGGCTGCACAATAATCTAAATACATATATACTTATATTATGGCTGCATAATAATCTAAATACATATATACTTATATTATGGCTGCATAATAATCTAAATACATATATACTTATATTTTGGCTGCATAATAATCTAAATTGTATTTAAATCACAATAATAAAAGTGCAATATCCCAATTTTCAATATCAACTGCTCAATATTCTGACTTTGTCTCTCTAAATAAAGACTCTGAGGTAGTCATTGATTTAAAATACTGAGTAAAATGTGGATAAAGTGTCTCATTCTTCGATCATTAATGTGATTTAATGTGTAAATAGGTGAGAATCAGTGTTGCAGCTGAGCCCCGTTCAGTGTTTACATCGGCTGCAGGAGCGGAGCAGCGCCCCCTACCGTCCACACGGAGGCGTCAGCTCTTCTAACATCATACAAGCTCGCATTGGCCTTTGTGTTTGTTTTGAATGCTCTTGAAACCAAACGGCAGCGGATCTCCTTCCTCGGGTACTTTGTGTGTGAGCTCCCGGTTGTACCTCCGGCATGGAGCGGCTGTAGCGGCGGCGGCTCCGCGGCGACAGCTCACTGCGTGGCGGTTTCCGGTGTCCGTCCGTCTGCAGGAGGATGGCGTCCGGCTTCAACCGCATCCCCTCTACCGCCGGTCCTCCGAGTCCCTCATACCCCGACGGTTGTCGACCCCAGACGGAAGACGGCTGTGGAAACCACCGATAAGCCGCTGGCGTAAGTGACCGTGCCGTTATATCGGTTATTAAATGGTGTTTCAGTGCAGGTCGGAGCAGCGGGCGGCGGAGGCCTACTCTGATCCGCTCGCAGACTCGAACCAACCGCAACCAGTGAACGCTATTGTGGCCTTTATAAAGCGGCGGCTCAGGCGGAGCGACGGTAGCCCGCAAGCGGCGCCGCTTCTCTCGCTTTTTGTTGTGCTTTTAGTCGATGTGTGTGAGTTTATGGCGCCTGAGACACAGCGGCGTTATTATGTGTTCGTCCGCCGCTGAGCCGTTCACCGGCGGCGGTTAGTCTCTCAGGAACTCTGCTTCTTTACTAACGGGAGCTAGCGGTTAGCCATTTTTTTTTTCCTCCCCAGGGTGGTTGAAGTCAAAACCCGCCCTGCTCGGCCTCTGATTGGCTGGTGCTCGCTCCCTTCATTGTTTTGATTGGTTGGGTCGAGGCATGAGCCGCGTGATTGGTTAGCGCTAGGATAAGAATGTCAGGCTGCGCCAATCAGAGGCGGAGTAGGGCGGGTCTTGACGTAGCTAGCGGTTAGCCGTTAGCCGCTAACGTCGGGCAGCTACATCCTGGAACTGAAACCTTTTACATTAAATTAAGTGTTGGGAATGAGATTTCTCTCCAGCAGCACAAACACAGAGGAGACACATTGATGCAATAAACTCGTTCACATCACGTAACGATTAGAAATAAACGTTAGACGTAGAGACGGGACCGTTACGTGCCCGAGTGCTGTTTCAGGAAATAGACGGAGCCCAGTCCCGGTTTTGGTGAAGCTACCTCTGAAAGCGTTAACGGTTATATTGGCAGGGTTTGGTGTGAGGGAAGGAGCCTCTAGTGTGTACATGTCGCCATATTATCTGCCCCAAACAGACAACAGTGTTCACGGAGTGCTTTCGGGTTTGTTTCCTGAGTTATAGAGGAAGAAACGCCAGGCCCGAGCTAACGTTAGGTCTGTTTCAGGTCTGTCTGACAGCCAACAGTCTCACATTAATCACACACACTTTATTCCCTCCCTGGCTCAAATGTAAACACAGGTCCTATAAGTTGGTGCTGCTGGCTCCTGTGTTGCTCTCTATAATGGAGCATGTTGGGAACTGTGGCTCCTCATTAGCTGCATTTGTGTTTTAATGCATTTTGAAGTTTGTTTAGTAATTTGTGTTTTTTCCCTCCTTTTTTTTTTTTTAGGTTTTCTCCTCTTTCTCAAAGGACGTGTATAAACACAGATCTTGCACTCATCCTACTCTCAGTGTTGCTGGTCACCGTTGCCCAAACCTCGTCCACCCTTTCAGTTTGGCACTGAAACCCCCTTTCATCTGCCGAGAGCTGAATCCCTACATGCGAAGTGGAAGGATGACGGAGGCGTGGCAGCAGCAGCAGCAACATGCGGTGGCTCCACCCTCTGTTGTGCACACGCTCCCCCAGGGAGCTGACAACCCTCTGGGCTGCACTGTGTACGGAGTCGTCCTACAGCCGGACGCCTCCCTGCAGCAGCCCCAGCACGGCCAGCAGCTCTCAGTCCAAGCCCAGCAGCCCTCCTTACAGGTAGGGGGCGAGAGGGGGCACAAGTGTGGAGCCTGTGGCCACGACATATCCCACCTGGCCAACCCTCATGAACACCAGTGCATGGTGAACCAAGACCGGTCCTTCCAGTGTACCCAGTGCATGAAGATCTTCAGCCAGGCGACGGACCTGCTGGAGCATCAGTGTGTGCAGGTGGAGCAGAAACCTTTTGTGTGTGGTGTGTGTAAGATGGGCTTCTCTCTGCTCACCTCCTTGGCGCAGCATCACAACTCGCACGGCAACGGCAACAACCCGATGAAGTGCTCCATCTGTGAGAAAACGTACCGGCCGGGTTCTGGGAACGTCACCCCGACCTCGTCAGCTGCCAACCCCCAGCAGCCCTCCACTGGTGAGACGTCCAGTGGCGGCGCAGCGATCAGTGCCTCGTCTCCTCCCGCGTTTGAGGCCTCTGCACCAGACCGGCCATATAAGTGCTCAGTGTGCCATAAGTCGTTCCGGCATTTATCAGAGCTGACCCGCCACGAGAGAGTACACACCGGTGAAAAGCCATACAAATGTGACACGTGTGATAAAAGCTTCAGCCAGTCGTCGCATCTGGCGCACCACCAGCGCACGCACAGCTCTGAGCGGCCGTATAAATGCGCCGTGTGCGAGAAGAGCTTTAAGCACCGCTCTCACCTCGTGCGGCACATGTACGCTCATTCGGGCGAGCACCTGTTCAAGTGCAATTTATGTGAGATGCACTTTAAGGAGTCGTCGGAGCTCCTGCACCATCAGTGCCAGCCTGAAGGGGAAAGACCTTTCCGCTGCGGTTCTTGCGGGAAGAGCTTCAAGCGGCCGTCCGACCTGCGGCAGCACGAACGCACCCACTCGGAGGAGCGGCCTTTCCAGTGCGAGGAGTGCCAGATGAGCTTCAAACAGCAGTACGCTCTCGTTCGCCACCGCCGCACTCACAAAAACCCAGCCGATCGCCCCTTCAAGTGTAACCTCTGCGATAAAGGCTTCCTTCAGCCTTCCCACCTGCTCTACCACCAGCAGGTTCACGGTATGGAAAGTCTGTTCAAGTGCGCGTCCTGCCAGAAGTCCTTCAGCCAGTCGGGGGAACTGCTGAGGCACAAATGCGGCGGCGAAGTGGAGAAGCCCTACAAGTGCGACGTGTGCGGCAAAGGTTACAAAAAGAATTCGACGCTGCAACGCCACCAAAACTCTCACTGCACGGAGAAGCCGCTGAAGTGCTCGCTGTGCGACAAGCGCTTCGTGTCGTCCTCCGAGTTCGTTCAGCACCGCTGCGACCCGACCCGCGAGAAGCCGCTGAAATGTCCCGACTGTGAAAAGCGCTTCAGGTACTCGTCTGAGCTGCAGCGCCATCGGCGAGTTCACACCGGGGAGAAGCCTTTCAAGTGTGCCAGCTGCGACAAGAGCTTCAAGCAACGCGAGCACCTGGCCAAGCACCAGAGCGTGCACTCGCGGGAGACACAGTTTAAGTGCGTGTGGTGCGGCGAGCGCTTTGTTGACCTCACAGCTCTGCAGGAGCACACAGTCCAGCACACCGCCGAGGGTGAGAGTTTCCCTGAAGCTCCCTGCATCCCATGAACTGAACTGCTCTTCAGTCCTGGAGAGCAAACATGACATTCACCCACAAAGCAAACGTGTGCCAGCCTCCGCTCTCCCATTTGTAGTTTAATAACATGCACCCTGTTAATTATGTTTAAGGATTTTTTTAGCATCAGTAAGACTCACCCTCATCCTTCGTTGAGTAAATGACAAAACACCGTAAATAGACAGGTGATTAGAGGAACCCTCGACATATTTTGAAACACATGGAGAAAAACTTGAACAGAATTTGGGGGGGAAAGGCGTGAAAATGTGGGGAAGATCTTGAGTTTGTTTAGTACCGAGTGTGGGACCTTATTCTGTGGTTGCATGTGATTGTCTGTTTAGTAACTGTGGATTCTGTTGTTGAGAAAGATGACAAGAACTTCCAGGCAGTCGTCAGATGTGTGTGCTCACGCGTAAGCTCCTCTGAAATCCATGTGCCTTTTTTTACCGATCACTCGTTCTCGTGTTTTTTGTTGAATTTTTTTTTTTTTTTTTTTTTTTTTTTCTCATGTCCAGTGTAGCCGAAAACCTCCCATCCGTATTACAGCGGCTGGCTTTGTGCAGCAGTATCTTTTCACATACTAGATCTTAGGTAGTAATCATCTGTTTGTGCATGAATATTTATCACACTTTAATATCACTGTTGTATTATAGGTTTTGGTTCATTTAGGAAAAAAACATCCTAAGAAGAAGAAGAAGACGACGACAAAGAAAAAAAGTGGATTTGTGAAAATGTATAGCCTGTGTCCTATGAAATCTGTGTTGTTGCATCTTTGTATTAAAACAAATGACATCTAGGTAACTAACCCATACCTATCATGTCATACAAACACTTGACATGTGCAATAGAACATGCACAATGTAATATTTATGACTACTGATTCATGGCATAGTCTACTCTGTTATATTATAGATTGTGTGTATACGCTTATGTAAACATTGAAAACTGTATAGTGCTTATGTTACCTGCTTTTGTATTCACCATGAATGAGCTTGCAGTACCTTTGCAAGCGCTTTAGTTTCAGTTCCAGATGAATTATCACGAAGGTTTAACCCAACAAAAAAAACCATTATAATGCTCACTTGCCACAAAAACTAGATGCATTTAGTTTACTGTGCGATAGATCTAACATTAAGTAATATTTTTTATTTTATTTTCCGAAAGAATTGGCCTTGTAACATCCTCACGGGGGGTTCTGACCTCGTCCTGGTTTCCACGCCAGACGATCAGCAGTTCGATCCGAGTAGCCTCAAAGTTGAGATTTATGTGTGGGCTGACGTCCGGACGCATAAAGTAAAAAATATTTGTGTACTTTAGTTTACTGTGTGGGTTTCTATATTCTGTACAATCTTTGCAGTATATTTAAAAAGAAGGTTTTTGGAGTTTAAAAAAAAAGTCTTGGGCAAAGGGAACTACAGCGGGGGACTAACGGGGAGGGAGGGAGGGAGGGAGGGGGAGGTAGGGGGCTGTGTGGTTGTGCCATGGTTTAGGTCCTGGTGAGTCTGCTTCAGAACCTCCTGTTGGAGGAGAACGAGTGTAATGAAGCGTTGGATTTACACATATGGATATCAATATAGACTCCTGTTCATACTGTATACAGACAATTAAAATAAACCACCCTTACGACAATAAAGGTGTACATTGTTTTCATCACAGCTAATTCTACCACGTGTCTCTGAGCCTCAAGATTAGAGGATTATTTCATTCATTTATTGATTGTTTTGTCCTGTTAAGGGCATTTTGTCACTATCACCTGACGTTTTACCAACTAAACAATCAGTGGAATAAATAATTGAGGCTTTAAAAGATGAAGAAGTTTCTATGATCTATATAAACAATTGCAGCTTTATTATATACGAGGCATAAAATGATCAAACCTGACCATTTTCAGGGCTGCAGCTAATCATTATCCTCATAATCAATTAATCTTTCTTTAGTCAGAATGTGATGATGATATGATGAAAGATTCAGTTCACAGTTTTATAAATCAGAAAAGAATCAAATCCTCATATTTGTGAAACTGAAACGAGAAAATTTTGTGTTTTTGCTTAAAAAAAGACTGAAATTAATTATCAATATAGAATGTATACGGAGTATTAAAATAAACCACCCTTTGGTTTCATCACAGCTAATTCTACTACATGTATTTTATCTGATCCTAAAAGTTTGAGCTGTGACTATCTTCATTATTATTAATTAATTGTTTTTGTTAAACGTCGGCAGCAGAAATCCAAACAACAGAAAGCTTCAAATATTCCCAAACATCATCTGTTATTTTACTGCAATACATTTTCTCCAGAGACGAGAAGAAAGCCCTTTAAAGAACATTTAAAGGGCCCTTCCCATCTGTGAATCTGATATTAACCCAAAGGAGGCCTCACTAGGGGCTGCTAGAGCTTTATGGGGGGTTGCAAGGCATTGTTGATTTAAAGGTGTGCTAGAAAACTTCAGGAATAGACACAGTCTCTGTCTGTTGTTCACTATTTGGTTCACTTCTGTGAAGTAAAGCATCGGGGACAAGAAAACGCTGAATCTGTCCAAAAAAAAAAAAAGATTATTAAATCTGTATGATTATTAAAAAACACACATCAGATTAAACTGAAATAATCTGCTCAAACCTTTCACACATGTTTCCAGCTGTTTGGATTCATTGTAGAGTTTTTAATTTAATAAAGATAAATAAAGTTTCTTTAAGGATAAAGATACTGCACAGTATTAATATCAGACAGATTCAGTAAACGATCCTGTAACTGCCTCCCCTGGTTGTTAGTGGCAGAATAAAATGAATTAAAATATAAATTAAACTGATCAATAATCATAAACAGGTCTGTTAATCCCTCAGATTTACTTCCGGTTGATGTTTACCGCAAAAGGGGAAGAACTTCCGGGTTCGGGTGCTCGATGTCTCTCCGCCGCCCGTCCGATAAAACCAATAAGTCCCCCGATACTGCTGATCACACTCATTATTGATCACCCTAACCCCGGCGGCGCCCGGTCGCTTCACGGAGAGCAGCGACCCGCTAACGGTCGCTAACGGTCGGAGCTGCCAACCGTCGCTAACGGTCGCTAACGGTCGCTAACGGGCGGACTTCCTCTGATCTCTCTACGACGAGGTTAGCCGGCTAGCTTTAGCCCCGTTATTGATTACACATTGCAGCGATGTCGACACTCACAAACAGCGGGGGGGGGGGTTTCCTGGGCAGGAACAGCACTTTGTGTGTCTGTGTGTGTTTATATCGCCGCGCTTTTTATTTTAAATGTGGGTTTTTTTTTCATGTTTTGCTAAAATGAGCTAGGTCACCGAGGCTAGCTAGCTGCGGCTAGTTAGCCTCGGTGAAATGATCGCAGATGGAGCTAGCCGCCCCCCCCCCCCCCCCCACTCTGCTTTAATGTGAATATAACTCCAGATTAATGTTATCTTATGTCCTGTAGCTGGGTGGGGGGGGTGCTGTCTGCTGCTGGGGGGGGGCTCCACACACACACACACACACACACACACACACACAGATATCAGAGGGTTTATAATAAATAAAACTACCATTGATCTCTGATAGACTTTATATAAATAACATTAAAGAGGAGCAGAGAGTCTGCACAGCTCAGCTTTAGAGGGGGCAGCTTTACTGTGCCTGGGTGGGGGGGCGTAACATATGCAGACTGTATTTACTGACTGAAAGTCGGTTTTATGAAGCTGAAACTGAGCAGGGAGGCTGTAAGTTGACCAACAGGGTTTACCAGTTAGTTTCTTTTTTTTTCCTTAATGAAGAGATGTTTCTAGTGACAGCAGTTTTTTTAACTAAATATTAAATTAAATTAATATAATACACATTGCTGTTGATGCTGTGTTATTGTTTGCAGGCTGCACACGCTCTTTGCACAATATGCAGCATGATTCACATTCACTGTGGGAATTATACCTTTTTTTTTAATCACAAATTTAATTTTCACAACAAAAAAATAATAAAATCATCAGTTTCTGGAGGTAATTCAGGTTTTATAAAGCTGAAACTGAAATATACACCGTCTTTAGAGCAGGGACGCCCACAGTTGTCCCTCTATAAGGTTCAGTTTGGCCCATCAGATGAAAGAAAACGTAATATTAATGTGAAATATAACAATATGCATTGCTTTTATATGCTGTTTTATTTTTTGTGAGCTAATCTAAACACGCTCTTTAAATATGTAGGATCCCTAATCATCAATCTGTGGCTGATAATTTCACATATTTGTACTTTAAAAAGACGTTCAGGACACCAGAGAGTCTGCACAGCTCAGGTTTTAATGAGTGAGAGTACAGCAGGTTGTGAGTTTGGCCTCGTTTAATGTGCTCTGGATGGAGAAACTGCAGTGAAATCAATATGTAGTCTGTTTTCACTGATTGAATGTAGGTTTTATGAAGCTGAAACTGAGCAGGGATGCATAAAGTTGTCCAAACTAGATATTTCTAGTGATAGCACACTAAACATTAATTTAAAATACTACAATATGCATTGCTGTTTATTAGGGCTGCACAGGTAATGGAGGTATTATCGCAATATAGGAAGTGCAATATGCAAATTGCACTGTACAGTTCTTCATTATCATTCACACATTAAACCTTTTAGTCCAAAAAATTGCAGCTTATTTGTATATAATAGTTAATATTTCTATTAATTGTGCAGCTCTGGTGATGTTTTATCTAAATTAAGTCAAATATTGTCTTCTGTCTCTCGTCACAAATAGAATAAATGGATTAGAAATCGTCTTTAAAGTGTCCATGTTCATCAAGTCTGAGGACCGTGGGTTTATGATAAGATAAGGTCTGATGTGTTCTGTATGGGGGAAACAACAGGGATGTTTTCACTGTTCACAAACAGACTTAAAGCTTTGTAAAAATCTGCTCTTATCTGTGAATGTGAGACACAATATTTGTCAGGACGCCGGTACATACCGTACCTGTCACTCTCCGGCTGTTTGTTTTGTCTGACGGAGGATTTTCAGACGGTGTTTAAAGCCTCCGTGTTTATCTAGCTCGGGTTTGACAAGTAAAAGTACAGTGGTTTTTTCAGGTTGGGGCGTAATGGAGACACGTTCCTGTGTTTACTAATAGGATAAATGTAATTTAAATCTAATCCAGGTTTAACAAGAACAGATTTTCTACACCTGCTCTGATCTGGATGAAAAAACCGGGAAATCCAATGAGCTTTTTTTTCTGTTTTCACTGTTTTTAAATGGATAAATCTGAAAAATCTGTTGGTTTTTTTTAAAGCCACTCAAGTCCCAGTTTGTACAACTTACAACTGACAACAGGGAATCATACAAAAAGCTCTACAAGGGTTAATTCACTAGTCAATTAACAGGAAATCTATCTGCATCTATTCTGATCTTGTTTCAGCTTCACAGACGAGAAGATCTGATGCTTCAATACATGAAAGTGCTGTAAATGATTACATCCCCTTAAATTAGGGGAAATTCTATATATTTTAGTCATTCAAATATATTTAATTCTTGGAGAAAAATAATCTTTAGATGAATCAGTAATTAGATTAATCGTTGGTTGCAGCTCTACATCCGAAGCCTGATTGTTATTACATCCTTTATCTGCATTTCTGTCCTCTGCTTCAGCCTCCTGTCTCTCTTCTCCCCTGTCGTCCTGCAGCTGGCGGGTCTCCATCCCATCCTGCCCATCAACATCCTGCTCAGGGGCTTCACACACTCAGTCATTGTAGCTCTGTCCGTCTGCACGACAGCTGCGTCAGACCGGCCTGACGCCTTTCATCAGGGGGCGCGAGCAGCCAAAGCCCATGGTAAGCGCGACACAGGGATCTTAGAGCCGCATATTCTGGAGAGTCGCTGCGTTGCCTTCCAGTGTCGAGCCAAGAAGTATTCAGAGGGAGGTGAAGGTCCTCGACACGGAGCCTTAAAGCTAGCGATGCCCGGATCCACGCCGGCCAGCAGCAAGGCTCGGGTGTACACCGATGTCAACACACAGAAGAACAGAGAGTACTGGGACTACGACGCACATGTGCCAAACTGGAGGTAAATGCAGCGTTTTGAATCGGTCTCAAAATAGAGCCAAAGCACACAAAATGAAAACATCAGTGTCAAATTAGGGAATACAGCAAATAGTATGTTTGTCAGAGAATCAAAACAGTTTAATTAATTCATATATTTGTATTTTTGTTATTTAAATAGCCCAAATAAATGGCCTTCCTCACATGAATGCATGAAACTAACACAAATACATATATATTTCCATCCTGTTTTCTATGTTGTTTTTCACCATTTGAGGTTCCACTGGCGCTCTTTGTCCTCTGGAGAATCAGCTCAATCTGCTGATAACAACTCCTAATAATGGTCTAACTGTAGTGGATGGAAACAAGAAATCATTTGTGTTTTCTTTTGCCAATTTACTCAGAATTTAAAAAGTTTGTGGATTTTAGTTGTTAATGTTGTCCAGGTTTCATAACTTCATAGAACTCTAGCTAAGACTGTATCCAGAAATCAGTATTTCAAATTAAATAGCAGAATAACTTCTGAAAATGTACATTTTATTTACACTAGTACTTTAAATATTGATGTTTTGTGTCTGACGCCATTCAAGGCAAAATGATGATTTATTGGACGAGTTGACCTTTTCTGTTCTGTGTCAGTCTGATCAATATAAACAGGAAATACATTTTATTTCAACAATATTCATCCAGATTGATCGTTTTACACAAACTTCCTGCAGTTATTGAGTTCGCTGTTTGGGTTCATTGTTCAGTTTATCAGCTGTTCTCTGTTGTTATTGTTAAACATTAAATATAATATGAAATATCCATAAAATACGTCAGTGAGTCCGGGGTCAGTTTACTCTGCTGTAACATTTTTACAGCAATCAGAAGAAATTAAATTAGATTTCTTTCATCATCTTTTCCTTCTGGTGAAGTTTTAGTATTTATATTGTCTCACCAGGTTAATGTTAAAGTGAAAACATTAACTTGGTGTTTTTGGACACATTGACAGAAAATAAATCAGCAATAACTCTGTTTTATATGATTGTACGTTAAATACTTTTTTATGTTGAACTGTTGGTCGGACAAAAACAAGCAATTTGAAGCGATCTCCTCGATCTCCTTGATTTGATTTGTGGCAGTTTTTGACATTTGACCACCTAAAAACATAATAGATTAATTGAATAAATAATTTTGAGATTAAAAGAGAATTAAAATAATCATCAAACGTGATCCTCTGTAAGGCTGCAATTAATCTTGTGGTACATTTTATAATTAAATGCTTGTTATTATTTTTCATTTGTCTTCAGATATCTTGTTCTGTCCAAAACCTAAAGATAATCAGTTTCTTATCATTTAAAACCAAGAAAAGAAGCTGCAACCAGAGCATGTTTGATTATTTCTTGCTATATAAATGTTGTTGAATAATCTCTGCTAAATGAACTAATCAACTAATTGTTTTTAGCATGAGTCTTCTCCCTCATAATCCAACCCAGTTGTGATCAGTGTGTCTTGAGTTGATTTTCTTTTTGTTTTAATTGCTGCTAATTGTTTCCCGCTCTTTCTCAGCAATCAAGACAACTATCAGTTGGTGCGTAAATTGGGTAGAGGGAAGTACAGTGAAGTATTTGAGGCCATAAATGTGACCAACAATGAGAAGGTGGTGGTGAAAATCCTCAAGGTGAGCTTTTATATTTCTTTTTGTTCCTTTTATTATGTCGGCTTTTCTTGCCTTTTCCCCCGTCTGACAGAGCTTTTTTTCCAGCCCTCCTCTGGCCATTGTTATCAGTGACCATCTCCAGGTCTGACTCACAGAGATGTTCTGCAGATGTAATATAAGTGGTGACTGTGCTCTCACTTTGTTAGAAGCGCAGGTTTTGGCAGGTCGTCCTCCCACTCTCTCTCAGCGGAGGATTTCTCTGCTTCACTCCTCCTCAGAGATTTAGGAAAAGTTCCAGTTTCAATCAGCCATCTGTGATTGTGTTGACTCCCTCTTGTTTCCAGCACAACTTTAGTCTGTGCATTTCTGAAATTCTAATAAGTGCAGATGGATAATGGTGTCCAAGACAAAAAAAGAATCAAAGCTCTGAAGCTCCACATCGCGCTGCGGTGACATCTGCTGGTCAAATGCAAAGGGAAGATACAAAACCACCAACTATGATTTAACTGACGTCTGTGGAAGCTCATTTCCACCAATGTGACAGAAAATAAAAAGATTCTGTAACTTATTATAATGTGAAACTTTCTCAGAATAATGCCGTAGTATCACAAAGTCATTATTATGAAATACTGAGTCATGATATTAAAAGAGTCTCTCATCAGAAATGGGCTTCTGTAGATGTCACACGGTTATTTTCTGTTTTTATTTCATACTTCTACTCTTTCTCCAAATCAACACAATCTCTGAATACAGAGGAACAAATACTTTCTGCCTTCAACTATCAACACAAACTAGTTTAAACCATCGGCCGTGCTTCCATTAAACATTTTCTGATCTGATATGAAACCGGCAAATTTCAAAACTGTGATGATGATGTGATTTTTTTTTTTGCCTTTTTTAAAGAAGATTTAATGTGTTGATGGAAGATAAGAAACTAAAATACGTTATATCGTGGCGAACATTTAACTCACACAACTGATCAGCTGAAACAAATATTTCCATCCTGTTTTCTATATTGTTTTTCACCATTTGAAGTTCCACTGGCGCTCTTTAATCACACCATCTTGTTGCTCTTCCTCTGGTTTTTCCGACTGGAACTAACTCCTAATAATCGCCCAACGTTAGTGGGTGGAAACGATCATCATTCGCTTTTTGTTTTACCAGTTTACTCAAAATTCAGTTAACATTTGAGATACGTCTTGATAGCTAGTGTTAGTTTAAAGTACGACACAAGTTTACGTATAAACTTCTGGAAATAGTCGTTGAAATCATTTCATTTTACTACTTTTAACACTCTTTAGTTAATTATTACAGCAGCGATGTTAAAAGAGTTTCAAAGCATTTTTAAATGACTATTTCGCACCAGGCTGTAACAGTATCATGAAGTAGGGTCACACAATTAATCGCAATGTTATCAAAATCTCAATATGGCCACGTGCAATATCACAGAAGCTGCAATTGTTTGATTTTATTTTGATAAAGGTAAATTGTGTGACAGAACAGCATTATAATGAAAAGCTGTAGTTCTGGTCTACAAATCTTGTTCCCCAGATTTAAGAAAACGTTTGTTCAGTACATCTTCAGGATTTTAACACAGGAATTAAAACTAAAATGCAGAAATGATAATTCCCACACTGATCGTGAATCATATCACAATCATAATGTCAGTCAAAATAATCACAATATGATGTTTTTACCATGTCCTGAAGCCATTATTGGACATACATACAAAGTTTATGAGGTTAACTTAAAACTAATGCAGTCTAATACAACAGTCCCTTTTTTTGGTTTTGATTTAACTTTATGATCATTGTTGAGGCTGCAGTTTTAGTAATTTCCCTGTTACAATTTAGATGTGTTAGTTTTTATGTGTTTAGGTCTCACAAAGATTTAGTTCTCCTTGCAGTAAAAATCTCATCTTTAATTTATTTGAGCTTTTATTGAACGTGTGTCTTTATTTCCAACCTCAGCCCGTCAAGAAGAAGAAGATCAAACGGGAAATCAAAATTCTTGAAAACCTGCGCGGGGGAACCAACATCATCCGTCTGGTTGACACGGTCAAAGACCCGGTGGTGAGTTAAGAGTCCCGCCGTCGCTCTGCTGCATGCGGGCATGCCAGCTGTGGTAATCCAGTCATGCGTGTAACTTTGTGCGTGTGTGTCCATGCAGTGATAATGATCTCCACCTACCTGCTGTTCTCCTCAGTTAAGCCTTGTGTTGTCCTCTCTTTGCAGTCCAGAACACCAGCGCTTGTCTTTGAGTGCATCAATAACACAGATTTTAAGGTACTTGAGTTTGGCCGACATCATACATGCAGAACTACCAGCAGAGTTACCATTCATGCAAAGGCATTGATATCCATTATTAATAACACGCATAACCCTCCGGTTAATGTCGTACATGCATAGAAGCTGAACTGCTCACACTGTGTAACTAATGATTTGATGTTTTATACACGAACGTCTTCATTTTGTTCCACAGGAGCTTTATCAGAAGCTGACAGACTATGATATCCGTTACTACATGTATGAGCTGCTCAAGGTAAAAACATCTTTGTTTACATCACAACAAGTTATTTATTTATTTATTTAATCACCACTAAAACACCTACGGTGAATTTGACAATTAAGTTTGTAGGGTTTGATTGTTCTTCTGTGTAATGTAATGCTCAGATAATTGGAAAAAGACTATTATTATAATAACAATTATTATTATTATTGTTAAAGGTTTGATTGATATTTAATAGAAGTTGTGATTAATCAAGTCAAAACAATCAAGGGATTAATTGATAAGGAAAATAATCAGTGTAGGTCGTCTTGGAGTCCTGACATCTCTCCGAAAGTGAAGCCTAAATGTCTCTATCGCCCCCTGGTGGCTGACGGCAGTATAGCTCATAAAGCCTCCATGTTAGCAGATGGGACAAACTAAACAAATCAAAGTACACGTCAAATAAATTGTTCCCAAAGATGCTTTTAGGTCATTTTTATCACACTGATGATTTGTGATAAGTTTCATATGATCATGATTGACAGCTGATATCGCGCCTCGTCAGTATGTCGACAGTCCAGACTGACTGTGTGCAGATGATGTTTTATCATAGACTGGCTGCAGTACTGAATGTGTCTCTGTCTCCTCTTTAAGGCTCTGGACTACTGTCACAGTATGGGCATCATGCACCGGGACGTGAAGCCCCACAACGTGATGATCGACCACCAGATGAGAAAGGTATTTATAGTAAACATTTAGCAGCTTAAGAGCCAGATATTTTATTTCCTCAGGAGTTGATGGAGACCAGAAATGAAGCTAAAAAAAGAGTAAATATTGAACTTATATTTGTCAGATGTCCAAAATCACGACTGCAAATGAATGATGATGATCAGTGTCTGCTGGTTTAACAGGCAGCTGTTGCGTTAACAGCTTGTTCTGCTGCCCCCAAGTGGCCAAAAGTAAATAAATAGATTGTGCCGTCCAAACATTAACATCACAATCCATCACTATGATAATGAATCAATGATTTAAAAACATCACAGCTTCCTGAGAACTACAGGCCTGCCTTTTCTTGTCTAAATGTGTCGAATTGTTTGACTGTCAGCTGTTTTCTGGGGGTTATTCCAGCCAGCAGCAGTTATTCCGATTATAAACCAGATTAATGAGTACTTTCTCTCTGTGTGTCGCAGCTGCGTCTTATAGATTGGGGTTTGGCAGAATTTTACCATCCCGCTCAGGAATACAACGTCAGGGTGGCCTCCCGCTATTTCAAAGGGCCTGAGCTGCTAGTGGACTATCAGGTATTTATTGGGGAGGGGGGGGACACAGACTGTATTTTAAATAATAACAATAATAATATATTATTGGTGTGTGATCTATTCTTTTATTCCCAGATGTATGACTATAGTTTGGACATGTGGAGTCTAGGCTGCATGTTGGCCAGCATGATCTTTCTGAAGGAACCGTTTTTTCATGGCCAGGACAACTACGACCAGGTATTAATACTGACACACCTTAAAGTCTCAAATAGTGTTTAATAGATAATAATAAAACATAAATACTTAATCTTACTCACAGGAAACAAATATATGGAAAGTTTGCAGCCTCTAAACATAGATACAAAAGAAGGGGATAGATGTATTATACTTACCAGCCTTCAGCTTCAGTAAACCTTTCCCTTCTTTCCCGGTGTCTTTTAAGGTCGTTTCTTTTTCTAATATATCCTTCCAGAGTAAAATGGTATTTAATATTTGGTCATATTTTTACTACGAGGCCTGTTCTCTGATCAGCTCCTGTTACATTTCTGTTACAATTAAAAGCCCTAAAGCATGGACAGAATCCCTTCAATTCCCAGCAGTGCTTTTATTTTGAAACATTTGCAGGACAGTTTTTATTTTATTATTTTTTAAATTTAAACCTCTTTCCATACAGTTATTCAAATGTAGCTACTGTCCTCTGGTGGACAACATACACACATACATCTGGATATATTGATCAATAAAAATGGTTGAGAAGTGACAGAAATGTACATAATACAAATATACCCTTGTAACGGCCATTATTTGAGACCAGGCTTTTATTTGCATAAAAGTGTAAATTGTGATGAAACGTATCCGCAGTATGGTGCTGATGTATTAAACGTGTCTCTGTTTTCCAGCTGGTCCGCATTGCTAAGGTCCTCGGCACCGATGAGCTCTTCGGCTACCTGCACAAATATCACATAGAACTGGACACTCGCTTCAAAGACCTGCTGGGACAGTGAGTATCAGATAATGAGCAGGAACTTTATTCAAATAATAATAAATAATAAACTGAAGAGATATCAGTAACGTCTGTCGTTGAGTTGCAGATTCAGTTTGAGCCATAAAAGAGCCTGTTGTTGAACAGAGGCGGCGGTTCAGGGTTGATTTTCCTCACCGACTCAGGAACCGGAAGTGAAACTGACAAAAAAGTGTTGAATTAAAGAAGAAAACATATGATTTTAAAAATATTCTTAACAGTCTTAATGCGTTAAATGTAAATTATGGGGTCTTTGCCAATTTTGTACCATGAAATAAGAATACCGTGTTGCTTTTATTAGCATAGAAAACATGTCGGTTTTATCTCCACTTCCTACGTTACTTTATGGTGTTTACAAGGTTCATTGTTAGAAGGAAGGTCAGCTCAGTTTATGAAAGTTATTAAGGTTAAAATACCCTCTGATCCAAACTGTCAAACCAAACTCCATTAAAAAAACAGCTGTTTTAAGGCAGACTCTTACTTTTACACAGTAAAAACTTTATTTCCACCGTCACGGAGACTCTTTACTGATTCTCTTCAACCTACAGTTACAATCTGCACACATTGTCTTTACTCACTAACACCATTTACTAACCTGTGATGAAATCAGTGACACAAGACGGTGGAAACACTACTGCTTTTGTCCACAGGGGGCGCCAGAACAACACAAAATGAACATTCCTCGTAGCTGAAGACAGACAGACAGACAGACAGACAGACAGACAGACAGACAGACAGACAGACAGACAGACAGACACTTTATTTATCCCGAGGGAAATTCAAGTAATTAAGAGTGAGAGCTGAGATCAGTCAGATGAAATGTTCGTCGTTTGTGTTCAGGCAAACGCGGAAGCGCTGGGAGCAGTTCATCCAGTCGGAGAACCAGCACCTGGTGAGTCCGGAGGCTCTGGACCTGCTGGACAAGCTGCTGCGCTACGACCACCAACAGAGGCTGACTGCTGCCGAGGCCATGCAGCACCCATACTTCTGTTAGTACCACACACTGCTCACACTGTCTGCAGTCACTGGGAACAGGGCTGCTTTCAATAATGAACACAGGATTTAAACAGGTTGTTGGTGAAGAATGTTCCTTTAATGCCACATTAATGGGATGTTTATTTTATTTTATGTTTATTTAGGAACATGCAAGATATTAAACAGTTTGAGTGAGACATTTGTCCTCCATTTTGTTCCCATAAAGAAAAAGATTCAGTTCACCTGAGACCTGGTTTAATGGTTAATAATAATAATAATTAATGGTTGTGTGTCGTTGTCCCTCAGATCCTGTGGTGAAGGAACACGCAAACGCCAACACAGACGGCACAAAGGCCATAAGCAGCTCCAATGCAACATGATAACCAGAGAGCAGGTAACAGATTCTGATGATTCAACTGAGAGCTGTTTCTGTTATTCTGTCCACCCACCCAGCTGATACAGTGACGGGAACCTGAAACACCTTTATGTTGTCACCTTTGTCCCAAATGTGTTCATCTGAGTCCATTTCAGACTGCACGTCAGTTATTGATCCATTATTTGTAACTAATTATTTAATTATAGCTGCTGACTATGTGGATATATATATATTATATATATTTTATTTTATTTTTTAGTTAGTTGAGCTCTATCCTACCATATACCCCTGGCAGCAGCAGAAGTACCCCTGTAGTTGCCCCTGTAGTTGCCCCTGTAGTTGCCCCTGGTTGTGAATCCCCTCTCTGTATAATACAATCCTAACTTTTCCACAGACGATCCGTATCTGAACTCTGTTTTTGTGTTTTCTTTCCGTCCGACCAGGAAGAATCTTTGTTACCTCAACTTGTGACCTTTTCGTGGCAGAAACTTCTGCCTCCACACCAACAGCCATACTGGAGCAAGATGTCAATTTTGCAGCATACACAAACACGCACGGATTAAACTTCTCCCAACAAAACCCGGAGAATCTGCGCTGCTCGGTCCGTGTCACAGATAAATCTGATCTGAAATCAGACCTGACCCCCCCCTACTCCTCCTCCTCCTCCTGCCTCCTCTTCCTCCTCCTCATCCTCCTGCCTCCTGCCTCCCGACACTCCCCTCAACCTGTTTTTAATATGAGCAAAAATGACTGTTGTTGGATCAGTATCAAGCCGGTGTTGTGCTGTAAAGACGTTTTGTCCGTCATTACGATGCTGTGGTGACCTGAGATCCGGTTCCAGGTTTTAGCACTGAGTGGCATGGAGGCTCTTTTCTGCTATGGATAGAACAAAAGCTATATTGAAAGAGAATAAACCATTTTTATTTAAAGACACCTGTGTTGGACTTTTATTGTCTCGGCACCTGTGTTTACCCTATTGTAACATGTGAACGTGGCTGCTGTGAAAAAGGTCTGTTAATTTGGTTCATCCATTTTATGCTGCATTTCTTGGCCCAGGTCATCTAATCTAATTAATTATAGCAGAATTTGTTCACATGTATACAGCTGGAAGTACTGAAAATCAAATGTTCATACTTTGGCTGTGAAACATTAAATATTATGTGGTATTAAAAAGGTAAACACACAGTTTGTGCAGGTTTCAAGTCGAATGTAACACTTTAAGATCATTATGAATGCAAATTTAAGAGTAAGAATGAATAAAAGGAGCTACCTGTGATTACATATAACAAAATAAAATGCATAAAAATAAAGTCTAAACAAACTAGAACTAATGTAGAAACTAACAGTTAAAGACTTACAAAACAAGAACATTTAATATTCAAGTTGACTTTAAATTAACTGCAGAACTTTGTTTTTTAAACAGTTGTAAGATTTGATTTTATCAGCAGGTTTATAATTACCACTATTTCAAAATAAGAGCGCACTGTTATTGAAGCTAAACCCATCCAGAATCAATAAATCCAGCGGAAAGAGAATGAAACAGACCACAGAGCTCATTAAGTGTGTGTACTTTTTAATAAATAAACTGGAAAGTCAAGGTGTTTTTCCAGAACATAAAACACTTGTGCAACATTCGTGCGTTACAAATAGGTGCATTCGTTGAGGCGAATCCAGGCCGCGGTTGGTGAGGTCAGCAGACGACAACCTGCTCCAATTTAAAACGTCATCTGCTTACCAAAATGGCTGACATTGTAAACACAGCAGAGTGAATTTCAATTACACGTCCGGCTTCTGATTCCAAGTATTTAAAATGCATCACAGAAGTAGAATTCACATTTAGTTTTTCTTTCAGGTTAAAAACTGGGACTACTGTTGCTGTTTAGTCCTTTTTTTTTTTTGTTGTTGTTGTGACCTGGTTTCTGCTCACAGACGGCTTGGCCCAAAATGAATGCCCTGACTGACATCTGAAGTCTTTTAAGTGTCAAACACAGTAAAAAGCAGCCTACAAACACACGGCTAGCTACAGCTGATGAGCTTCTACACCCATCGAAGGCACGCCCACAACACCCTCGCTGTTCCTCCTCCTCCGCCGGCGAGGAGCGACAAAGACCGGCCGCTTCTCAAACAACCCGACAGTATTTTTATATTTATTTTTTTTAATGCCACTTTGGCACTTTATCTACATGTTAAAGGAATAGTTTGATACTTTGGGGACTTCGCTTTCTTGCAGAGAGTTAGAGGAGAAGATCAAAACCACTCTGAATATGAAGCAACCTGGTTCTGTCCAAACTGTGTGCGGGATTACTTCGAGTCCTGTGAGCGTAACGTGGATAATGGCAGCAGATCTACCGTTGCAGTGACTGGTTCTTTCTGATTTCTGACGGAGGTAGACAAAAGCAACTTCAGTCGTTAGCAGGTTGTATGAGCTGTAACTGGCTAGCTTACTGAGCTCATGTTATTTCTATAAACTGGTTAAAAACTGCGTCTCTGGCTTTTTAATGACTCTTTAAAACGAGAATCCTGTAAAAAGGGTTAATGCACTCGATGGCTACATACATTATATAGTGCTAAAATACTAAAGAAACAGGGTTATTATTATTATTATTAAAAGTTATCAGTAAGAAAAATGTAAAATCTGACTTCGTTAACAAAACCCGTTTGGCTGCTTATCTTAAATATGATCTTACAGGTTGTTACAGACGCGTATTGTATGTACGTGTTTGGCAAACGTAACTTTGGTTTCCACTGTGAGCTGCTGACGTTAGCATTACCTCTAATAGCATCCAGGTCCGTCTGATCACAACCTGTAACCCGTCTCACTAATGTAATTAGTTAATTACGTGCTCCTTGGCTCTGCAGTTCCTCTAACGGCCACTAGAGGCTCCAGCAGTGAGTCAGTCTCCATAAGGCTCCATATTAACAGCAGCAATAAACACGTTTACAGCCTGGTTCCAAAAACTGTTTTGGTCTCTGTAGTTAATTTACATGTTCACGAGTGTACGGGGGGGTGAATATTTATATATATATATATATATATATATTTATATATAACTCACCTGTTTAAATTATATTACGGCTTAAAGTCATGAATAATTAAGGGCGTGGCCTCTGAGGGACAAATACTTATTCCGAAAAAGACAATATTTCTACTGAGGTGTTCACAACGTCTACTGACAATAATTATTCCACTAATATTCCCGTAAACTGTTAATAACTTTCTGTATTTCCCTCCTTTTCAAACTGTTGCTCAGTTTTCCACCACTGGCGCCTCGACCGTGCGAACGCAGCCTCCCTCTTTCATTCGCTCAACCACCTTCTTCAAATCCAAACCTTTCACAATGTTTCCGACCGGACTTTTCTTTCATACATGCATCTTTACTGCAGCCTTGTAAACTGTTGGCTAGTTGGTTTGTTTACAACACAGAGTGGAGTGTAAACAGGTAAACTACATTTGGGATGAGGCCTAATTAGGAATATGGGAAGGGAATATGCCGTTTACACAACCTTCACCATCGTCACTGTTACGTTACGGAGAAATCCACAGACTGACAGACCTGCAGTTTCTAAGATATGATTGAACAATGGCCACTCGCCACAGTTTGGACAGAGTCAACGTCAAGCTGCTTCCCTCTCTCTGGTCTCTATTCTGTCTTCAGCTACAAATAGAAAATTCACTAAGTGCTGTATTACGAGCAGTTGAAATGACCTGAAGATGAACCGTCAGTAACTGATAACGGATATGAACAACAGCTCTGAACGTTTTGTGTATTTCGGAGCGCTGCCGAGTTTGTCCTGAATCATTAATAACTTAAAGCAGATATGTGCAACAAGCTGCTGCTGTCAAAAATCCAATGAGAACTCTTTCATTAAAGTATTAATCAGAGATAATTCCTGTTCACTCCACATGCAGCAAACTGACGGTCACATTCATCCAGCCAGTCAGTCCAATTTGTCGTTACTGTTGGTGATTGTTAATTGTATGTTGTTTGTAGGTTAGAAGAGGAACTGTCAGTAAAATAAAATAAACTCGACTTGATTTGAACTGATATTTACTCGTCGCTGAAGCCACGAAAGCGAGCTGACGCAGAGTCTCCCGTAAACACTGACCAAGAAAAACTCCTGTAAACGATTTCTTAAAAAAAAAGATATTGATTTCTCATAAATATCACACTGTGTCATCTACCTTCCTGCAAGAGAGCGAATGAACTATTTCCTTTAACGCTGCGAGAGAAAGTTTGGTTGCTGCAGAAGAGAGGGGTGGGGGGGGCTCGGGGACGGGTCACATCACAGTAGCATATTGATATCAAAAGACCACCAAGGACACCGTTAAGACAAGAGCCAACGCGGCTGAGGATCTAATTAATAACACTGATAATTTAAAACCCCCCGGGGGAAGTTCTCCTGACCGAGTCCACTGGCACTTAATACGTCTTAAAAGGATTCACGGTCTCAGTTCCGACTTCCTCCGGGTTTGGAAATGTCCTTGGTGCCCTTTTTGAAATGCAAACGATCTAAGGCATAAAAACAAAAACGGTATAAAGCTAAAACCAGAGACATTCAGTTTGTTCTCTCAACGTAACAAAAACTTAAATAATTGCATAAATAAAGCGAGTGATTATGAATCCGCACACGAGCGGCGTGTACAGGCTGATTATGTATGAGACTACATATATAATGTTGGTTACATCGTAGAGTTGCAGTATTGAGGTAACTTCATAGTAAGAGAGGGGTTGGGGTTGGGGGGGGGCACGTGAACTGTACTCGGCTCTGTGTGGGAGCCGCATGCATTCGACAAAAGTGAAAATGTAGATAGAGGTGTTAGTGTGTGCGTCCCTTTCTGTCCGCATCCTTCAAGTTTTACATAAAAAAAATGGCCTGAAGTAAAGCGTCGATAATACTGGATGTTTGCGTGACATTGATACAGTCTGTGTACCGGGGGGGCGAGGTCAGGGCAGCAGGTACTCCAGCGCCGAGTCGTCCAGTTCGTTGACGGCGACGATGTGATCCAGATGTTGCAGGTACCGCTCCTGGTCTCGCATGAAGTGAGGGATTCTGGTCCGAGGGAACACGGCCAGATGGCGAAGCCTCTCCACGTCTTCGAAAGACACCTGCGGAGGGAAAGGATATAACGTGTACAACAGAAATCTGTGAATGCACAATGTGCATAGTTCACATAACTGTGTGCCGTGATGAAAACTGTCTGTCTGCACAAACAACAACCACAAGCTGCGTTCCAGCGGCGATAAGATCAGTGAGCGGTTTTAATGTGACTCGCAAACCTTTTACCGAACACAAAGGTTGATGTGTTGATCTAATACGATCTCTTCTACCTTCCTCTGGGTGACCACACTCGACTTTATGCCATCATCAACTAAACCTTTGTTTACCCTGATCAGGAGATATACTGCTGGTCTGTGGTGCAAAGTGAGACTTTATCTGCACGTCTCACTAGCGGAACAGGTTGTTTCAGTTGCTGTAGACAGGAACACCTCCCTAACCCGGTACTGAACATTTTACTGTGAATGTTTATGATCAGATTAGATTTTACGATTTACACATTCATGTGGTTCGGAGACACAGAATAGACAAACACACTCACACACATTTGTCTCTCTATACTTATATATGCTCTATTCCCTCATTTACTTAATGCTTTTGCTAATTAATTAATATTGCTAATTAAATATGTCTTAACCTCTCATAATACCTTTCCATCGAAGTACGTATGATGGAATGGATATGAATTATGATCCAGGACTGTGTTTCACCTTTTTAGCCGACTCAACACCAACTCATCAACACCAAGCTTGACCCATATTTCGATCATTTAGGGTCAGTAAACCTCATTCAAACGAAATGATGTCGCTTTTTTCTGTTTAATAAAAAGCTACAAATCTGAATAATTTTGACTATAGTCAATATAATAGTATAGGAATGTATAGGAATACATGTTTATTGATTACACACACACAGTTTTAATGGTGACACATAATGACACCTGTTGTCCTCTTCTGGTTTGACTGTTTATGAAGCATAAAATATAAATGATCACCCAATTCTGTGTTTAACCTCTTTAGTCAACCTTATTCCAACGCATTACCACAAGTTGGTCCCTTCATTTTGGAATTCATGGTCAATAAACTAAACTGTAAACTAAATTATGAATTATTATGGATTATCACAGACTGGTATGTGTCAAATATTAGCCAGGACATCCTCAGCTCAGAATAAACTGATGCAATTTAGGAGCAAACATTTTGATATTGAAGAGTGAACATTTATTTCCTTAACCTAGAGAAGTTTCAACTTTAACATTTTAGAATAGTTTCGGAAATCATTTTAATTGCAAATTAGAAAACACAAAAAAAAAAAAAATCCGTTTGTTTGCATGCGTGTGTGTGCGTGCGTGTGTGAGTGTGTGTGTGTGTGTGTGCGTGCGTGCCTGTCTGCGTGCGTGTGTGCGTACGTGCGTGTTTGCACAGTGTAACCCAATGAGCCTTCTGGGGTCAATTACGGTGGGGAAGAACACAAGTGTTCTAAAATTCAATCAAACACCCAAAATTCAGTGATAGTGGTCAACACTGGTTTCATGTGGAGCTCCCATACCATGGAACCATCCATGTTATTTTAGTGAAATTAGATGAAAAAATGCCATATTTAGAAACATAAACAACATTAAAAATGGGGTTAAAAATGACCCCAAGACATTATGCAGGGTTAAAGTTTAACTTTCATGGAGTTTTGTGAACTCAATTTATAATAAAGTTCTATGAAACACAAGTTCATAAGAAGAAATAATGAGTTGTCGGGATCTTGATGCTTTAAATTTAGTTAGCTGTGACCTACAGTAAATAAACATAAATAAAAGGGGCATGGGGCTTTCGGGAACTGTCTGCCTTTATTTGATAGGACAGCTGAAGATAGACAGGAAAGCTGGACAGAGAGAGGGGACGACACGCAGCAAAGGGCCGCAGGTCGGTTTCGAACCCTGAGCCGCTGCAGCAAGGACTCAGCCTCGGTACATGGGTCGCCAGCTCTACCCAATGAGCGAACCGGGCACCCCAAGGAACTGTTTGACAACCTGAAAGGCACTTTGTTCGGGGCATACTGATGGCAGCATTTGTGAACACACAGTCCTTGCCTCTCTCATAATCATCTCTGGTTGTAAGTTAAAGGTTTGTTCTCAGCTCAGTCAAACAGATCAAACCGATCAAGTAGAGCTGCAGCATGTTGCGTGGCACGTGATTTAAACTTCTCTTTCCTCTCACCCAGTCAACCCTGGTGGTTTTCTTAGAATTGCTTCTCACATATTTAAAACATGAGAAGGTGGAAGCAGCTATCAGACGCATTCACAGCAGATCACTTCAGACACGTCAGTCGTACACTGAAGACAGAATGAAGACTCTCGGCTTTGCAGCGGGACTCCTGCTGCTGATCACTGTTTCCTACTGCACTGCCATGCGTAAGTCTGTCACTCTACTTTATGAACCTGACTGGAGATTAATTACATTTGGGGGGGTCTCTTTTTCTGGATTTTTGTTACATTATTTAATTTTATTATACCATTACCTCAGAAGGAAAAGGCTGATTCTAAAAGACTTTTTAACTGTATTAAAAGTAGGGATGCACCGATCTGTGCTGATACCGATGTTTAAAATAACAATTAGGCAATTTTAACCTTTTTTTGTAATTTATTCGCCCTTTTGTACAAGTGAAACAAATAAATCTACAAAGATAGGCATCTGTTCAGTTACATTTGGAAACTCTGGACCATTAATAGCATTTGTCTTGTTTGTCCTTTTGACTGCATTTTTAGTTTATCTTTATTTATTAAGATATTATTATTTCTATGTTCTGTTTTGGGTTTTTGTTGGGTGACGTCTAATTATTTCTACTGTTTTGAGTTTATGCATTTAAAGGGGACATATGCTAAATGTTTGTACACACATATTTGGGTATTTGGGTGGCCTACCAACACAGAAACTGTGACTGTTTTTTAGTGGGCTGGCCATGTGACGGACATGATACACACTTTATTTTGGATTATTTATTTATTTTTAAAATGTGACTCAAATGTTCCACAAGGACTGCAACTGCTTTCTCAAAGGAGTACCAGCTTATGGACCCATACGGTCGTCTGTCACCCAACTTCACATTTATATATATTATAATTATCATTATTATTACTATTATTATTATTATTTTTTATTGAACTTATTATTATTTATTAATTATAACTGGTATTTTTTTAAAACAAGACATTTTCTTTTTTATCTACAAAGTCTTCTTGCCAACAGGGCTACAAAGGCTAGAGTATGTTTCTTATTGTGTATATTGCTAAAGTAGTCTTTTTTATTTTGTTATGTTTTCCAGCTCGTGCAGTAAACGCTGTAGCGCCTGTAATGTGCTGCTTTAACTTCTTCAGGGGAAGAATTCCGCAAAGGCAGATTATCTCCATCATCAAGACTGACAGCAGATGTGTTGAGAAAGGATTTGTGTATGTGCTTTACTCTTACTCTCACTTTATGATCCGCACCAGAACAATGACCACGTTTATCCAGTTTTTGTCTAATATCACATTTCAAAAGGGACAAATAATATTTTCCCGTTGTAACTCTGTTGATTTTTCTGCAGGGTCAGCACTGCTAGAGGGACCCAGATATGTGTGTGCCAGAATCTCAACTGGGCACAGGAAGCTTACAAGCAACAGCACGACATCTGGAAGATAGATGGATAGATAGATAGATAGATAGATAGATAGATAGATAGATAGATAGATGATAGATAGATAGATAGATAGATAGATAGATAGATAGATAGATAGATAGATAGATAGATAGATAGATAGATAGATAGATAGACTTTATTGATCCAAGCTCGAAATTGCAGAAAAGATAAAACGTAAAGATCGAACATAAAAGATCAATAATCTCCAGCTACTCAACCTCTGGCCATGATCTCTGCTGATCTTAGTCTATGCTCGATAGCACCTTTTTATACCAATGAAAACATGTTTTTCTGAGAAGCTTTGCATTGTGTGCTTATATATACTAAATATATTGATATATGCATTAATAAAATGAAAGGACAAATAAAAAGTGTTGGGTCTTATATTATATAAGGTTGATGCCAGACATCTCCGTACTGAGGAGAGGTAACTAAATGCCCCCCGAATCAATGAAGTTTGACCTTAATCTACAATAATATATCTTAATCTATCTGTTACATTATACAGAGTATTTTACAGCGTGGTTTTACTACTTTTACTTCCTCTACCACAATCAGGCTCCATATTGATGTTCTTTCTTTACCTATAACGCCCTGTAGGGGGCAGAAGCTGTTATTATTATCTCTCATAATACTTCTGAACAATCAGAGATATTTAAATGTTCTGTAGTTATCTTTAAAATCTCTCACTGCGTCGGTTTTATCTTCCTCTCCGTTTCATTATTCTCAGGAACCACTGCTACATTTGATGGTATTTTTCGTACAGCAGGGTTTTATATTGGTGATAAAGACTCTGATTGGACGGCGTCGACACTGACCTTTCCTAAAGAGGTCAACATCTTGAAGTCGATGGCCCTTCGGTGCCGGAGGATTCGGAGGATCCCGTCCAGGTAAACCTGGTCTTTACTGAAGCAACCTGGGACAGAAACACAGCACAGGGAGAGTAAGGATAAAAGCACCTTTCTGTAAAGTTATTATTCTCTAGTAAAACTGTTCATCCATCGACGGGGAGGACGAGTTCTTCTCACCTTCACAGTTTGTTTTACTCCTTAAAGTCTCTAAATAGTGAATTTACTGTCCACCTGCTGCTGTTTTCATAATAATGCATTATTGTTAATTATTAAGTTGACCTGTACAGTCTAATCCTCAGTCAGTGTTTCCCAAACCTTTTTTCTGGGAGCCCAACTATTTCAACTCAATCCACAAATTTAGCACATAAATGAACACTACTGACCATTTTTACTGCTGTTTCTGCATCACGTCATATTGTCTTGAAAAACACACATTAAATACTGTAAATAAGACCTTAAGAAGAGTCTCTCATATTTAAAACTACACATTTTTAAATCTACTTTAACTTTATAAATGAAACAAAACAAAGACACTGAGGTTAATAGGTTCTCGTTTATGAGACTAAATGTTCATTAAGTAAAAGTTAAGTTTCATGTTTTTAACCTCATCAGTCAAACAATGAACACATTTTAAATACTTTATAAAAGAGAAGGAAAGTGCATTTAGTAAATGTAATTGTGACCCAGATAAAATCTCCTGTGAGCCGGTCTCTTTAAGTCCAGACTCAAAACCTTTTGTTCTCCAACATCTGCTGATCTCTCGTCTGTGTGTCGTTCATCTGTACCTGTCTGGGTTTCTTTATATATTTGTGTTTGTGTTTTTAAATGTGATTAATAAATAAATCTACTATCTTTTCTACCTTTACCAAGTGTATAATGTTCAGTTCTGTGTGTTTATTACTGAAGTCTTAAAGGTTAAAGATGTTAAAGCCTCTATTAAGCAGTGAAACCTGTACTTCATCACTTTCTGGTCTTTTTAAAGACATTAAAGTTTGTCTGTAACACATCTGTATGTTTATTCACTGAAAGCTTCAATTAAGCTAATTAAGACCCAACAGTAAATGAACTGGCTTCACAAGTCGGCTGTAATATTTGAGATATTTTATTTAGTTTATTGTTTGTTTAGATACGTGTGATACACTCACCAGCATCCAGTGCTGGTTACAGAGATATGAGATATGTTTGCTTCTCAAGAAACATTACACAGTACTGAGAGAACAGGATGATAGTGGTAGTGTGTGTGTGTGAGTGTGTGTGTGTGTGTGTGTGTGTGTGCACTCTGTGTGTGCACTCACCGGGCTGCGAGGTGTCCGTCTGTCCCCTCTTGGCTCGCAGGCAGTACTCCCAGCGGACGTCCGGGTCCTGGACGAAGCGAGCGATGTGGCTGAAGAGCGCGCTGAAGCTCATGCTGGTGGCGTGGTACACCGTGTAGTAGAGCAGAGCCGCTCGCCACAGGTAGGGCTGTTTCCGTAGCAACACGCTGTGCAGGCTGGCCAGGCCCTCCTCCGTGGGATTGGCCGGTTTAAGGCCGAACTGCTTCCTGCCGTCTGCGGTGGACCACGGCTGCAGGTTGTTGTTCACCCCTCGCAGGTAATGTGTGCCTGAGGAGAGGACGGACGGCAATAGATCAATAAATAAATCAATAAACAGGTCTGTTTTACTCTAAATGGGACCATCAGTTACTAAATGAACATCATGCTGTATGGAAGAAGACTGAAACTAGAGACTGAGACCAGAAACTCATCAGGAAACTGTTTACTGAGGGAATAAATCAACTGAGAAGTCGACTCATTTCTCCATAAGACTGAATGGTATCTGTGAGTTATTGCAACCAGTGGAGCCGCCCCCTGCTGGTTGTTACTGAGAATGCAGGTTTAAGACTTCTTGTCTGTCTTACAAACATCCACCTTCTCTTCATTCTCTGAGTTTTAGTTGTCCAGATCTAATTAAATGTACGCTCACTGAGGATAAGACCCTAACCCTAAGACTGTGAGATGATGATGAAGATGAAGATGAAGATGAAGATTACCTATCTCGTGTCTCAGCATCCCCTCCAGCCAGTGCTGCCGAGCTCCGGCCAGGTTGATGGTCAGAGTGGGACGGCAGCTCTCCACCACCATCACCGCCTGAGATAGCAGCTCGTCAGACAGACGCACCACAACCTGGACACACAGACAGACGCCACCGTCAACGCCTGGGACAGAGCGCCACCCGTCCCACCGTCAACGCCTGGGACAGAGCGCCACCCGTCCCACCGTCAACGCCTGGGACAGAGCGCCACCCGTCCCACCGTCAACGCCTGGGACAGAGCGCCACCCGTCCCACCGTCAACGCCTGGGACAGAGCGCCACCCGTCCCACCGTCCACACCTGGGACAGAGCGCCACCCGTCCCACCGTCCACGCCTGGGACAGAGCGCCACCCGTCCCACCGTCAACGCCTGGGACAGAGCGCCACCCGTCCCAGTGTCCACGCCTGGGACAGAGCGCCACCCGTCCCACCGTCAACGCCTGGGACAGAGCGCCACCCGTCCCACCGTCAACACCTGGGACAGAGCGCCACCCGTCCCACCGTCAACGCCTGGGACAGAGCGCCACCCGTCCCACCGTCAACGCCTGGGACAGGGGTCCCACCGTCCACGCCTGGGACAGAGCGCCACCCGTCCCACCGTCCACACCTGGGACAGAGCGCCACCCGTCCCACCGTCAACGCCTGGGACAGAGCGCCACCCGTCCCAGCTGCCATGCTCACAGACTTTAAGGCGCTCCCGGTAACTCAAGCGCTCTCGCAGACATTCCCGCTGACTGCCTGAGGGAATTACCCACAGTTCATAGTGTTGTGACGTTAAACACAAAGGCTACAGGTGAAAACAGTAAACAAACACGAGAGGAGCGTTTAAATGTTCAAGGTCCTCTCTCCTCCACTCCCCTCCCTCCCTTCCTCTCTCAGGTGCTCCTCATTGCAACACACGGACTTCAGGATCTCTGGCTTTGTGTTTGTTGGGATTCATGAAATATAATCAGTTTTTATTAAGTTTCTTGAGGTTCTGTCTCCATTTTTACCATTTCTCTCTGTTTATTATTGATTTTTTTTTACAGTTTTTGTTTGACAGAATGAGGCTCTGTGTGTCTGTATGACCCAACACATCATCAGGGTTCCCACTGTTTGTAAGAAGTCATTTCCAGGAGTTTTTCTTGACATTTCAGGACAGCACTTGCTCACCAACGTTAATATAATTTACCAGAAGGCTCCATTTTAACTTTTTTTTTTTTACTGCAGCAGGTTAATGAGACACTCTGTTAATTTGCAGATGTTTCCAGCTGCAAACTCTCCAGTGAACTGACGACATTTCACTACAGCTTTCCTCCAACGTGAGCCCCTAAAACTGTTCAAATGAAGTACAGTTAATTCTGTACTTTACAGAAAAGTCACCTTCTAACATCGTTAATCATTAACCATTAAAACGAGACATAGATAAAGAGAAACGTTTGGATTATTTCCAGAATATTTGGTCATTTTAACAACAAATTTTAACAATCTCTAAGTTTCCAGGTTTTCCAGGCTGATTATGATGAATGTCTCGGAGTATCAGGACATTGAGGACAATCTGAAAGGTTTATAATTATATTTATTATCTTTATTTATTCATTTATATATTTATTTTCCCCCTCCTCTGTTTATTTGTTTGTTTTAGGTCACCGCCTGCTTGCTTTATTGTTACTGAGCTGTTTATGTAAAATACAGCCGAGGTTATCTCGAGTAACTTCTGCTTTATTTTCAACTTTATTCTGCCTCCTGTTGTTTTCTGTTCTGTCAACTGTCGGCAGAGTAATCACAATCAGTTACTCCTCAAAGAGGCTTTTCCACAGCCCAGTGATTGCAACTCACTCGCAGAATCTGGATCCATATCTGATCAGCACTGTTTGACAGTTTGATCTGAGTTTGGTGCGTTGAGCTGGACGGACTCACTGAGAATGAGCTGTCAATCACAAGGTAGCCCCGCCCTAAAGCATACCCTGCTTTATGGTCTGTTTTACTCTAAATGGGACCATCAGTTACTAAATGAACATCATGCTGTATGGAAGAAGACTGGAACTAGAGACTGAGACCAGAAACTCATCAGGAAACTGTTTACTGAGCTCATCAATCAACTGAGAAGTCGACTCATTTCTCCATAAGACTGAATGGTATCTGTGTGTTATTGCAACCAGTGGAGCCGCCCCCTGCTGGTCGTTACTGAGAATGCAGGTCTGAACTAAAGCTGGTTGATGATGTCACTCTCACCTCTCCCACGCAGCCTTCCTTCTGCAGATATTTACGTACGGCCGCCCAGACTTGACTTTTCGGGAGGACGCTGCCGCCCGTCACTTCCTCGAAGTTCTCATAGGAGCCGAACTTCCTCAGGACGCACTCCATGATTCCGACCGCCTGCAGGTACACGGAAAACTCATCATCACCATCATCATCATCATCATCATCATCATCGTGTGAGCTCTCAGGTGAGTCTGCGTGACGTACCTGTTCGAGGAAGAGTCCCGAGCCCTCCCGGTACTTCTCCAGCACGCTCCTCGGCTCGGGCTGCATGTACTCGAACTGCGGCTCGTACTTGTAGTCGGACTGGAAGAAGGTTTGTTTCTCCTGCTCCAGGTTGAGCGGCCGGAGGGCGACGAGCAGGCAGGGCCTCGCGGCTCCGGGCGGCGCCGCGCTCCCCACGCCCTTCGCTATGTGAGGCAGGGACGTGGCGGGTCGCATTTGCCCCCTGCCGGCCCGCAGCCCGAGGGAGTAGTTGACGGAGCAGGTGCTCTCGCTGCGGCGCATCCAGCCGCCCACGCCGAGGCTGGGGCTGGTGAGGCTGCGAGCCGGCGGCGAGGGGGCGGCCGACCCGCTGCGCCAAGGAGGCTGCACGATCCGCCTGTCCACCATCTGCTCCTGGGACCCTCGCAGCCGCTGGGGCGTCATCTCCAGGCTGAGGGGGCGGCGGAGAGGCGGTCTGGGCGTGGCGCCGCCTCTGGGCGTGGCGCCGCCTTTGGATGACCTCCTGTCTGCTACCTGGCTGCTGTTGGTTTGGACCGGGAGTCCGTTGTGGGACACCTTCCCCTTCTTGGCAGCGCCGCTCCTCTTGGCCGGCGTCCTGGGCGTCACGGCGCCGGCTTTAGGTGGATCTGCTCGGACATCCGGCTCCCTGCCGCTCTCACCCTCAACCTGATCCATGAAGACTTCACTGGAGTCCAACACCATCACCACGGCCGCAACGCCTCCGGCTCCACCTTCCCCCTCCCTCCGGCCCCGGCGCCGGGGCAGAACTGGGAGATTTACTGCTTGTTGCTGCTGCGGCTGTAATTAGATTAGAGTTGAGAAGATGAACGGCAGCCGGTCGGGAGGATGTCATCAGAGTTTGTGGTGGAGACTAACAAAGAGAAACCTCTTCCAGGATGGAGCCACAGGAACAAAGCTCCCGTCTCCTCTGAGCTCCCACTGACAGTTCAACATTAACTAGAGATTAAAACTGTTTGAATCCATGGAGACAGCAAACAGTTCACAGTAAATCAACACAAAACAAATCAGTGGGACCGTTAACTAACAACAACAAACACTCTGCTGTTACCTGGCAGCGACTTCTGTTGACCGTTGGTGGCTTTCATCCGCTCATACCGGCGGCGGCTCCTCCGCAGACTGACGCCGGGGAGCGGTGGCTGTAATCGGAGGATGGCGGTGATGATGTGCGGGTAGCGGTGCGGTGTGCTGCGGGGCCTGAGGCGCCTTCCCGGGCCGGCCAGGAAGCGGCGGATGTGTTGGAAGATATGACGCGTTACGCCGGGAACGCCGCGCCGGACGTTCCGTCGTTGCGTCATTACGTACAACCAGCTGGTGGACGGAAATGGATAAACCGGAAGGCTCTAAAAATATTATTAGGGACCTCGCAAGCGACCGCTGGAGGTCCCTATTGTTTTTGCTCGATTTCTTACCTATTATTATTATTTTTAGGCCACTTCGACAGCGTTTTTCCCCCTGAACATATACGAAAACTCAATTTTATTTGGCAAAGTTGTCAGGCCTGGTGAAAAATTTGATATTCTATGTGTCTTTTTCAGGTCGGCCACTAGGTGGCGCTACTATTTAGGAAAGTATTTTCACTTTTTGGTTACTTAATAACTTTTGCATATTTTGTCGCACATTCAAAAACTTATATCCACGCGTTCAGTGAATGGAGCTGAATCTTCCTATATAGGCCCCGCCCACTTCCGCCTATAATTTTTTTTCGCTAGAGTGCGAAAAGTCCTTAAAGTACGTTTTCGTGGTCCTCCTACACGCTTTGTCCGATTCGCAAGAAATTTTTCACCTAGCACCTGGGGACCGCCCTGGCAAAAAAGCAATTTGAACATTTTCGAAATTTCAAACAATAAGCACGCTATAAAATTAGCACTTCCCGTGGAATTTTCATCAAAAAAGGAAGTGGACCATTTCTCCACATTGGTATGTCCGATTGACACCAAACTTGGGTGCATAGTTCCAGGTGTCTTCCTTAAGCATCGTGCACAATTTCAGGCCATCAGCACTAGGTGGCGCTCTTTAAAATGAAGACGTTTATATCTCTACAACGGTATGTGTGATTAAGATGAAACTTGGTACGATGCTTCCCCATGGCTCCCTGAGGCTCACTTAAAAAGGACAAAAAAAATACGCCACTAGGTGGCGCTCTTTTGGCATGAAAAATCACTGTACGGACACCGTAATAGTTATGAATATGAAATTCACAGGGCACGTGTAGAGTAGTGCCTGAAGCTCACATATCAAAAATCGTGTTTGTCCTGTGTGTAGCGCCCCCTAAAGGATAATAAAACAGCAGCCCCGGCGCCACGTTTCACCGATATGTACGAAACTCGGTAGGCCCGTTTAGAATGCCGGGACATACAAAAAAGCCTCTTGGACCCATACCCGAAACCCCACAGGAAGTCGGACATTTTGATTTAAAGTTTCACTTTCTGCGAATTTTTGCGTTGTGTTTGAACGAACTCCTCCTAGGGAATTTATCCGATATGCTTCAAAATTTGTGAGTACAGTCAAAAAATGGTCCTGATTTAAAGTTGTGCTATTTACGACATTCCGTCAAACGGCGTGTCCGTGGCTTCCCATCAAAGTCAGCCATTTTGCATTCTGTGCTCATTTTCTGTGATTTTTCGCCTTGTATTTGAACGAACTCCTCCTAGGGAATTTATCGGATCTACTTCAAATTTAATCAGCACAATCTAAAGACATTCATGATTTAAAGTTGTGCTATTTACGACATTCCGTCAAACGGCGTGCCCGTGGCGTTGCGTTGAATTTCGACCACTCACCCTAAACAGATAGTACTCAACTTCAGTGTACAGTCCCACCCTGAACACGTCCTCATATCTTCAGCGTACATGATCCAATCTCAATGAAACTTCACGTGTTTGATAACACTCCCACCCTGAACACGTCTACATGACAATATTCAGACAAAGTGATAGCGCCACCCACTGGCAACAGGAAGTAAGCGCTGCGTGGCGATTTTGAGCTGCGTTACGTGAAATGACTGTGCCAGTGACGACTTGTCCAATTCAGCGGATTCGCCATGAAATGCCACTCATAACTTCAGTGTGCAATGTCCAATCTCCGATAAACTTCATATATTCTGAAACAGTTTTGCCCTGAACACGTCCTCATAACTTCAGCGTACGTGGTCCAATCTCAATGAAACTTCACGTGTTTGATAACACTCTCGCCTTGAACATGTCTACATGACAACATTCAGACATGGTGATAGCGCCACCTTCTGGCAACAGGAGGTAAGCGCCGCTTGGCCATTTTGAGCTGATTTACGTGACATTTTCATGTTGTGGTCCCCACGTGTTACGACGGCACGCGACGCGGCCGCAGCGCGCCCCGAGTTGGGTGGGGTGCGAGGTCCCGCTCAACGCTGCTTGCAGCTTTAATTATTTTTATTGATTTGTTTTATTTATTGTTTATGTTTACGTTTTTATATATAGTGTTTGTATTTGTTTTTGTTTTTTAAATTAGTTTAATTTATCAATGTATATGTTTACTGTTATTTACTGTTACTGATATTATAAATTATTATTGTCACCGTTGACTATTTTATTTGTTTTCTTTTATAAAATGTAACTCAAGATTCCTGCTGGAAAGTGTAAGACAGATTGTTTTAAATAAAGGTTTGGGGGAATAAAGTATAAGTGTCTAAAAATATTAATCTAGAGCTATATCCATAAATATAAATTTATTTTCCTCCCAGTTAATTCAAATTAGAGTAACTTTAAAGAATAAACTCATTGAATTTCTTAATAATAATAATAATAATAATAATAATCACTTTATTTATATACAACCTTTTCAAAAAGTGCTCTGTAGCACTTCATACACAAAATATAATTAAATTAAAAAATAATGAATACCAAATTACTAAAAAATATATAAATTAAAAAATTTTAACATATATAAAAGCAATGAAAATACAATTAAAATAAATATTCCATATGTATTGTTTTGATGATAAAGAAAGTTAGTTTGTCACTAGACATTATTCTTTATAAATAAATAAATAAAGGTAAATAATTCATCTGATGTGGCCCTGAATTTCAATATATATTTTTATTAAAGTATGTATATGTTTTTTACTTAAATTAACTGAATTGAATTGGTAAAAGAAAATGAATTTTCCTGAATAAATACTTGAGTTACTTTTACTCAGATCAAATATTTTTTCATGCTGAAATTGTTTGAGTTAATAAACGGTTTCCTCAAACAGTTTGAGTTCGACTAACTCAACAGGCTTTACAGTGTATCTCTCAGATTATTGGAAAACAAGATCTTTTGGAGACTTGTAAATAAGTCCAGGAATCAAGGAAAGGTTTAATGAAATGACATCGACTTATACTGTATTAGAGAAAATAACTTACATATTAAATAGTTAGTTTTCTTTGTTTGAGGAAACCTGGACACTAATTCCTCAGAAATATAACCGTTTACAGTTTCTTAAAAGTGATACAGGAAAGCATCACCTCTGAGACGAGAATGACAACGAGAGCACTCGTCTTTAAGTTTGTTTTATGTGTGAGTTGAAGGGCCACATCAGGAGGTCAGAGTAAAACCATCTAGATCTCTTGATAATGAGTGTTGGAGGTGTTTGAAGGGGGGGGGCAGTACAACATCAGGTGAAACACTGAAATCCCCCCCACTTTTATCTCCTCAGGGTAAGTTTCATTGTGAGGAAGCTGTCTCTCTTTTCCAGGAACGCCCAGATCACCTTTCACACAGCCGCAAACACCTGAAGCCTCAGAGAGTCAACAGCACTGCAAACTACCGGGGGGGGTTCGAGGGTCAGAGGAGGGGCTGTTTCACTGACCTGGTGTCCCACGGCACACCATCCACATATTATAACACCAATGGGGCCTCGTTCTCCTAAATATCTCTTATATTTTCTCTCAATTTAAAAAGAGAAATCAGCTCCAGATGCAACAAACGTTCTCAACCATCCAAATCTGCTCTCGCCAGGTGAGCTTGTGGTTGAATTGTTTGATATTAGCATACGTAACAACCCTTTAAATACCATGAGGGCAGATAGTGAGTGCAAATACCGTTGGAGACTATACCACCACAAAAGTCAACAGACAGACAGTGAAACTACTATTTCACTATCAGGGTAAAAGTAAACACCTGACATGCAAACAGTGAAGTGAGTTATCTATATTGGCCAATCGTTGAAGAGATTAAAGACCCTTCAGGCGTTAACAGCTGAGCCCAACTGCCCCCTGTTAGAAACCCTGTTAGGGTTCAGAAACCGGTCTAATGAGATGGGACAGTCCAGTATCACAGACGTCTTTTGTTCTTCATTGTTGCGGATCGACAGCAGCATCACTGTTATCATCGCTGTCCGACACGGTTAAATAAACACAAGCTGAGAAACCTGCTGAGGTTCACGTGGGATTACACAAACCATCTCCTGTAGTGACACTGTTCAGATTCTTATCAAAGGAAACTGTACTGAAATATCTAAAGGGTAACATAGAAAACTATATATTGAGAAGTGTTGCTTCTATATCTTCAATTTCTTCCAAATACATTATATAAATGTTTTTCTTTAAATCTATCACTGAGTTTAAAATGTGGCCGTAACAGATTGTTATATTAATTTCTATTTTTAACACATTTTATTAAACTAATCTTTGAGGGGTATAAGTAAACGTTTAATAATTAGTAGGCATATATTTTAGCATTTCATCCGTTTATGTGAAGAAAATTGAATGAAATTAATGTTATTTCTAACTTTTAGACGATTATTTAAGACAAACATTGTTACTGTTAATAGAACAATGAGAAGAAAACAAGACAAAAGGACTCCTGTTAAGTATGTTTGATTGTTAAAAATTAGAAAAATACATGAAAATACAGATAATTATGATCAATATTCACAGGAAATTTGGGTTTCTGATTGTAATTTCTGTTTTAATCTAGAAACAATAATTGTTAATTATTATTAAAAACCAAATATCATAAAATATGTCCCTGAGTCAGTTACCTTACTTAAGGAAAAAGGTTTGGGACCCACTGATCTAAATTAATGTGCCAGCTGATACAGACCTTTTTCACAGCAGCTGTTTTGACACCAGCCAGTCGGGTAAACCCAGGTGTTACCAATGATTCAGGTTCAGTTCAGGTCAAACAGAGTGAAGGTGTTGCTATCGTGCACGTCAAAGTCTCTGCCACACTAAATTATACACAACCTTAAAGAGTATCATTGGCCTGTGTTTACCCGACTGTTTCGTGTCAGAACGGCTGCTGTGAAAAAGATCCACTCTGGTGTACTGCCCCGCTGTGTCAGTGGTAGACGTGGATCTAATCTAATTAGGCCAGAACAGGTGAAGTTTTATGGTTTACTGCGCTCAAAGGTTGTTGTACTTCCTGTGAAGACCACGCTCCACGTCCTCCTTTACTCTGTCGCTCGTTATTTACCTTTTTATTCTCCATTTATTTCAGTTTATTGAGGGAAACTTTAAGTGTTTGCAGACTCGGTTGCTCCTGTGTAACTATGTAACTATCCTACATTGGTTGGTAGGATTGTTTAGAATCAGTAAATAACACGAACCTGCAGAAAACGTTGTAATCTGCGTCTGTTTGCGAGCAGATGAACCAGCCAGCAGTGAGCATGAGAGCGTGAGCACCTGTTAACACCTGAACCGCCTCCACTCAAAGGTCACACAGGTATTTACACCTGTGTGCACAAGCAGTGAGACTTTGTACCCGCTGGGACATAAATGGTAACTAGTCTCATCTAAAGTTATCTGATATCAGCTGAATGTTTGCTCACATTAGATAGTGAATGTGCTTATAAAGCCTAGTTAGCTAGTGGTTTAATCTGTAGCAAAACAGTAGGGAGTTGAAAGGAGATAGAAGGAGTTGAAAGGAGCTAGAAGGAGATAGAAGGAGCTAAAAGGAGTTAAAAGGAGTTGAAAGGAGCTAGAAGGAGTTAAAAGGAGCTAGAAGGAGCTAGAAGGAGTTAGAAGGAGCTAGAAGGAGCTAGAAGGAGCAGGATTTATGAAGGTCAACTGGTTTGACATGTTGGTTTTCTCCCCCATTAAGAGAGAAATCAGAGCTGATGTTAGTTTCAGGGCAGACTGACATTAGCTTTGTGGCACAAATGAAGCCTCCACATTGATTTGAATGGGGCCCCTCGGTTGAGGCCGTTGAGTCTGGCACAAAAACACCGAGCTGAACCCGACACAACTTTTGTTTTGGCGACGCGACGTCAGCTGGCGATACGGTGACCAATCAAAAGCATCCAAGTGCACAATGTTGGCGAACTATTGTTTAGCTTCCTCGTTGTAACAAAATAACCTTTTTGAATCTGTTTCCTGAATTGTAATGTGATTCCTCAGAAATCAACAGTGCAATGGAGACAAATGTTCCCGGATCAGATTTCATGTCTGACTGACACCTGGAACAAACACCACCGACACTTCATTGGTTTTGGCGTCAACAACCGGCCTCGTCTAAAGATGAGAGAGGCGTTCTCGTCATCGGTTTCGGATTATTTGTGTTTCTGTCCTTTAACTTCAGAGCTTTGTGCCACACTGTTCTTCAGAGGATGGGGTTGACGCCGCTGCTGTCACCTGAGAACAGGTGAGACAGACGCTACATACTTTATCTAATGTGATAACAGCTGAACAGAGGTGGGTAAAGTACACACATTCTTCACTATAAACCGCACTGTAAAAGAGTTTATTTAGTTATTTAACTTAAAGTTAGATAAATATAACTTTAAATTAGTTAAAAAACATTCTTGATCAAGTAGTTTTGGTAGATTTAAGTGACACTAAGAAAATAAAATACCCAGTAAAAAGTTATTAATCAGGAATGTTTCTGTGAACTTAAAATCATCAATTATTTTGAGTTAAAGTAATTTGTTGCATTAAAATCAGATAATTTAATTTAAAACTAACTGATTATATTGAATTTTTTAAGTAAAACTAACTTAATTTTCCTAGTTAATTAAGTATCTTCAGTAGATTTAAGTGACACTGAATTAAAAGTTTGTGATTTTTATTTGTACTTTGAAAATAAAATACCAAATAAAAAGGTTATTGATCAGATTTCTTTCACACCCACACTGATAAAACAACCGTACGGGTTCAGTGTCTGACTCATGTAAAGAGTATCTGGAGAATGATTCGGCCTCACATGTTCTGTCCTGACTGTGGTGTGAAGTTTATTATAGCATTAAAAGAAAAACATGACCTGAGTAACTATTATTAAATTCACACACAAACTGAACGCGTTTTTAAAGCTGATTCTGAACGTTTTAGAGCCAAAATTTCTCAAATTTGAGACTTTTTGGCCGAATAGATGAATTAAAATAAAGAGATTTTATATCCAGTCACTATCACTATTCCCTGTGAATTCTGCATGTAATTTATTGTCTTTAATTGTTAATGAATTATAATTTTAAAAAAAACGGAAAGAAAATTGCAACTATTTCTGTAATTTTTGCCTACAAACGTCACTTTTTTTGTGAAATCAGACATTTTAAACCACAATAATAACAATAACTTCCCCCAAAAGCCTGTGAAATCTGTATATCTCTTTCACATACTATTATTTGTCATTGTGGGAGCTTTGATTTACACAAAATATATTTTAAAAGTTAAAAAATATGGAAAATACTCCACTGTGATACATTGTTTGGAGTCTAAAGGGTTGGTGTTGCATTATATACTGGTTCCCTGTTTGTGGCTCAGAAACTGTTGGCTGGAATGAAATATTCTCCCTCCAGTGTATTTAAACAAGCTGTTTAATTAATAGTCATAAGAGTGATAAAGTGTAACCACACGGACCCGTCTAGCTCTGAATCCTGTTCTCCACCTTTGATAAATGATTGATCTTTGACTCTATTATTGGTTTAACAACAAAGCCTCTCTCTCTCTCTCTCTCTCTCTCTCTCTCTCTCTCTCTCTCTCTCTCTCTCTCTTTTGTTTGATTTGTCAGGTTATTTTACATTAGACATATATGTTCAGAGGTTATTTGTGTCATTTTATTAATATTTCCTGTTGCTTAAAAAAGGAGGAAAAATCTGTAAAATAAACGGGGAAACCCTGTAAATGTTCAGACTTGTTTTTACAGTGCTGGCTGTTGTGTAGTTTGGACGCCAAACAAACAGGAAATCAGAGACTGTTCACATCTTTACAGAGACCAGGTCCATCAACATCCCGGATCAAACCCTCGACAGGTGGACCGCGTTCGGTTTACATTCAACCAGAGTGTTTCTGAGTGTGTACATAAATATAAATAACTGTATATATTGGTTTACTATATGTTATTCTACTATATAATTAATGATCTTTCTCTTTGTGTTGAGCATGAAAAGACTTTAAACTTTCATTTTGTTGTATAATAATAAATGAACTGATCCTGGATATGTATTTTTTTATTTTTTGGTGAACTGATCCTTTAACATCCAGACATTAGAGAGATTCCTCTTATATAACTCTAGGCGAGAAGTATTTTCCTTTAATTTAAGCAGGGAAAACAGCTCCAGACAAAAACAAATTTTATTCAAATATATGTATGTCACCTTCTCTTCCACCGAATAACATCGATAAGGAACAGCAGAAAGGAGTAAATATAATAAACACATTACAGAACAACACTATAAAGCAGAAATACTGTGTGTGACATATATCAGGTAATAATGATAATAAACAATTTATTGTTATTTATTTATGAAGCACCTTTTATAGATAAAGTGCTTTACAGGAAAAAAATTTAATCAAAAACACGAAGTAAGTAAGTAAAATACAGATATAAAAACTAAAGCTTGTATAAAGACACAGATAACAACACTATAAAGCAGAAGTACTGTACATGAAATATATCAAATAGTAATAATAATAAAATTTTACAGCACTTTTCAAACTAAAATGCAGCTCAAAGTTCTTTACAGGGGAAAATAAAGTTGGAGTAAAAGAGTTTTAGTGTGAAGGTTTGTAAGCTCATAATACTTAATAAACCTGTGTGAAATACAGTGGAGAACTTGTATAAAGCAGTTAGATAATGAATAATATACAGTTAGGATTGTGTGTGTGCAGGTAAAGGGGGAAGTGTGTACTTCCTCTTATTCCTGCTCAAGCAGGTAAGATTTAATGTTGTTTATGAGGATTTATGTATTGATTATTGTTCTTTTAAAAGTTGTCTTGTTTTCTTTTACATGTTTAAAATAAACATAAACAACTAAATACTTTTCTTATCTACAACATCTCTCCTGGCGCTCACTTCCTGACATTTTTCATTTACAGCAACATCACCATTTAAACATTGATAAAACTATTAATACACCAGCTGACACACTGACAACAGGCCACTCTGTGTAAGCAATACTTATAATACACATTAAAGAGGACATATTACAGATTATTCTTTAATCTGTAAGTCTTATTTTAAATGCATGAGCGCGCGGAAGCGTGTTAGTCTAACCAAAGAGCAGAAGGTTGTCTCTCTTTCAACACACACAGAAAAAGGTGTGGTTCATGTAATAAAGGAGCAACGGCACAGGCTAAAGAAGACCTGTTCCCAGAGCCTCTAGAGGATTTCCAAACAACACACACACACACACACACACACACACACACAAACCAAACCGGTGGGGGGGGTGGAGCAAACAAAGGTGTGGCTGCTCCTCAGGTAAAGGACTAATAGAGTGCTATGGTTACATGAAGCAGGAACCAGACTGGGAGAACACTCCTCAATGATCTTCGTCGCTCCAGTTTGTGGTAGCAGGCAGGTGAAGAGTCACTCTTACCTGCAACTGAAAGCCAAGTCCTGTCATGAATTTTTCAGTGGAGAAACATCCTGTAACTTTTTCTCTGCTACATATCTGAAAGGACGACAGCCTGCGTCTGCGGACGGGAGGACGTCGACATGCTGGAGGGTGGCTTTGAGAAGGGAGGACAGAGGTATGTGAGAGTTTTCAGTTTTAGTTTGTGCAGTCGTAAAAGCATTTTGTGTCTGACGGGGAGGACGAGGAGAAGGACGCTGTTTGTGGTGAAGAAAAGCATCACAGTTGTGGAAAATGTTAAATATATGAAGCAGGAAGCAGAGTTTTATATATAGTTCTGCTTCTTTTATTAGTTTTAAATTTTGTTTTTCAGTTTAGTTTCAATTTATAGTTTCATATTGTTTAAAAATGCTTTAATTGTTCGTTATAATATTGGGGGTATTTGTCAGAATAGGTATTACTATACAAACACAGTCTCAATAAACACATTGAGCTCATGCTTGTTGTGTTTTCCTGTACATTTGTATTATATTTGAGCTAGTTGTGTAAGCACAATATAGTGTAGTTGTCATTTGTATCTGAGTTAAGTTTAGTTTGTTAACTTTGGCTCGAACATGAGAGCATCAAACATGTAAATGACATGTTAAACAGTTCTTTAGTCAGAGTGTTTGTATTTATTTCAACATGACAAACAAAAATACTGATGACAGATTTATTCCCTCTCAGCCAGGTGATGGTGGATGTTGGGAAACTGCCGGAGAGCAGGCGGTGGTGTGGTTGGTCTCGGCGCCACTGCCTCTTCTTCATCCTGGTGTTGGGCGCAGTTCTGTTCTTATACAACACAAACATAAAGGAAATGTCGCCCAAATGGAACCATAAATGGTGGACGCAATACATTCCTTTTAAAAGCCACCAACAAAATGTGGTCCATCAGAGCACCGGCCCTCCTGGACCTGGACCTGGACCTGAACCGGAGACCACTGTGACCAACTCATCTGGGCTCCCTCGTACTGAGAACGCCACATCAACCGATGTGACAGACCTGAGCGCTGCTCCGCCGCGACAGACTGTGAAGGTGCATCAGCAGAAAACTGAGCCACCAACGCCGGTTCCTTATGTGTCTCCGGGGCCGTACTTAGTGGAATACCCCTACGAGTACGGCTTCATTATAAATGAACCAAAGAAATGTGAGGAGCAGAAGCCGTTCCTGGTTCTGATGGTCCCTGTGGCGCCCCACAACAGGGCACATCGTGACATCATCCGCAGCACCTGGGGAGGCGAGAGCTCGGTACAGGGCAAAGTGGTGAAGCTGTTCTTCCTGCTGGGGCTGCCGGCCGGAGAGGGAGCAGAGCGGCTCCAAGGGCAGCTGCTGCAGGAGAGCAAAGAGCATCAAGACCTGATCCAGAGCGACTTCCTGGACTGCTACAAGAACCTGACCATCAAAACCATGGTGATGCTGGAGTGGCTGGACTCCCACTGCTCCGGCGCTTCTTACGCCATGAAGATCGACTCAGACATGTTTCTGAATGTGCCCAATCTCGTCGGCATGCTGGTAAACGCTCCAAAGACAAACTACATGACGGGACTCGTGGCGAGAGGCGGCGCAGTGCTGAGAGATAGAAAGTCTAAGTGGTACGTACCTGTGGAGATTTACTCTCACTCACAGTACCCACGTTACGCTCTGGGTCTGGGCTACGTCCTGTCTCTAGACCTCCCTAAAAAGCTGGTGGAGGCATCCAGACACGTTAAAGCTCTTTACATTGAAGACGTGTATTTGGGGTTGTGTATGGAGTACTTGGGCATCCCTCCCACCGACCCCCCGAGCTGGGGTTACTTTAACGTCTTTCCTGTGTCATACAGCCGCTGCGGGTACTCCAGGCTAATAGCCACCACAACGAATGAAAACACTGATCGGTTGGGCAACTGGAAAGACTTTAAAAGACCTGGCCCGTACTGCTGATCTGTGAAGAGATAAGAGTAATATATTGATAAGCAGGACTGGATTCTCTCAGCTCATTTTTGTGAAATTCAATCCGTTCTTTCTGTGGTTTACATGTGAATTATCTCTCTGTATGATAAATCATGTGATAAACTGTGTTAAACAGGTCTGGGCTCTTCTGTTACACCGAGCTCACCTTGTTGCTCTGTAGATAAAATCTAAAGCTGAAGACTTCCTCGAAACCCACAAAAGGCTGTCAGCTGCAGGGTTGATCAAAGTAAACATATGAAGGAAAACACACACACAAAGAAAAGTTTCAACACAGTCGTAATGTTTGATATAAGAAGATACAAAAGGTTGTTAAGCAAAAATGTTAATGTTTAAAAGAGTTAATATTTGACCTTGGAGGGTGAAGCAGTTTGCTTAAGAGAAATAAAACCTTTAAAGTGTGTTAGTCACATGTTACAGGCACAAATATTCTAACTTGAACTACAATGAGCTGTGCCAATCATGAGTCCTTCCAGGGTTTTCTTGGGCACGGGGCCTCGCTCTTCCTCGTACAACCTGTTACGACATGTCACCGCATTCAGGTGCATTGTTGCTCCATGCGACAAGCGAGACTGGAGAGCGACTTACATGCGTGATGTTAGAATTAGAAGGGGAGAGAGAGAGAGAGAGAGAGAGAGCGACGCCTCATCTCTGTTGAGTATTTAAACATTGTGACCCTTACTAACAGGAACAGGCGCGAACGCTTCGGCTGCAGCCGGAAGTCTCCTGTTGTTGGTACGAAGGGTTTTTGTTTGTTGTCAGACAGACACGTTTCAGCTTGTGTCCTCGCTGCTTTCACAGAGCCACAGGTTCAACCCCGGCTGTACACATTAGTGCTCGTGGGAAATTACAGGTGAAATACAGGTTTTACAAGCCCCCCCCTTTTTAAAAATATCTGTTTACACTTAAGGATACAAAACATGTGCTTAAAGGTTATTATATATATTATATATATATATATATATATATATATATATATATATTTATATATATTTATATTTATATATTTATAGGAAATTCACCACAGAGCAAAACAGTGGGACAGAAATAAAAGTAAAAACTCACCAAAACCTTCTTTGTTAGTCTTTCCAACAATCACCAACTCTGGTTTTGGTTGAAATAAACACTTAATTCACAGAGTTTGATCAGAATATGTTTGTAAAAAGGGCTGTAATGGCTGCAACGTAAGCTAACGTTAATCCTCAGGGACATTTTGTCAAATTAAATATTTAAGTCAGGATTAAGAAGATAAAAACTCCAGTTTTAGTCAACTTTCTCCTTTCCTGACTTAGACATATTGTTATATTATATTATATATAATGTTATATCTAAAAAGACAAGCACATTTTAATGTTAATGTTACCTACCTAAGCTAATGATCTAGATTATTTTGCTAACTAGCTTTTAGATATAGAGCCAAACTATTCTAACATGACTGAAGTGGATTAGGTAGAATCTAACATTAGGTAATTTAAGATGTGATCATATATGTGTCACTTTTATCTTTTAACCATCTTTAAAATGTGGTCGTCTTTTTCAACATAGATTAGCTTAGCATGTAGCATGTCTAAGTAACCAAAAAGGGGCGGGGCTTTAAGAAACAATTACATCATGAGTTTATATGATTAGTTAATGGATGTTAATTCACACTCACCTCATAAATTAGTTTACCACAAATTAACTTGAATCCAGTTACACCAAAAAGAGGATTTCAGACCCAAACATGTGACATTTGTTTAATACATTTAAATTAAATTGTATTATTATATTTGTTTGTTGTTGTTAAGAACGGTGCACCGAAACCAGAGACACATACTGACTCATGCATTAGTAAGTCTGTGCAAACTGGAGGAATTGAGGACTATTTTATCAGCATGGTGACAAATTGTAATTACTGTTAATAACTGGCTCAGACTCTGCATCATAAAAGTGAATTCATCCTTTATTTTAATGTCTAAAGCACTTTAGATTAGTGTTGCAGAAGCTGCTTAATAAATTTAAAGTCAGTCAGATGAGGACAGAATAAGATCATCTAACTCAACATCCACCTCAGTGTTTTTATATCAACAGATATTTGTTTGAAACTGTGTAACATGTAAGAGATTAATAGTTTCTAAAAGTGTTAAACACTAATGCAGAGAGACTTCCACTTTAATCAAATCAGTAATCAATCATTTAATTCTGTATCGTATGAATGAATCAATGAATGAGTGGATGTGGATTTTCTTGTGTGAAAACATCCGTTGTTATTGTTGTGTGTGTTTCTGTGTAATGTTTATTTTATTTCAGGTTATGGGAAAGACATAAGATGTTGAATATTGTGCAGAATATGTATAAAAAGTCGACACTTTAAGTAAAATCTGAGCAGTTTGTTTTTATTTACTGTGCTGTCAGAGGAGGAGGAAGCATTCGGGTCATTTACTTTAATGTAAAAGGAGTTTTTAACTGAACAATGTCTCAATTTCTTTTATTTTATGTATTTATTTTACCAGAAAGTCAGTAGGAGCCGTACAAGAAAGTGAGTAAATTGTCTAATAGAACAACAGCCAAGTGTCAGGGAGAAGAAAACACAGAATTTGTAAAAAATTAAGCCTATTGAGTCTGTATGATGTTAAAAATGATTTAAAAAATACATAATCCAGACAGAGTTGTATAAAAAGTTCCCTAAACAGGAAATAATCTGCTCATCCAAATCTCTCGTTTTACACAAACTTCTTGGATTCTTTGTACAGTTTTGAATATAATATAATATAATATAAAATGTCCATAAGAAATGTGTAGAAAAAGGGTTTCTTAAGGAAAAAGGTTGGAAACTTCGTAAACAAACAAACAAAACCTCCTCAGTGAAGTGAGGCGATGGGAGCACTACTTTATGCACTTGGTGACACTAACACAGTCATACCACAGGCAATAAACTGTATTGATTAGCATAAAGTTGGCCTGTTGTCAGTAAAAGTGGAGACTCGTGGAAACCCATTGGACCCATTTTCATTCAGAGGTCAACGGTTCCGTTTGAAAATGACCCTGGCCAGTTTTTGGAGCATTCTTTAGCCCCAATAGGTCGTCTAGTTTCATATGATACCAGGAGGTCAGTGCCCCCCCGCCTCTGGAAACACTCTGATACTACAAATTGAATTTGTATGAAAAGATTTGGGGACTTTTTTCAGACCTTGTTAAATACGTTTGGATCTACTACAGGAACTCTTTTTCTTTTCTTATTTATTTATTCATTTTTGGTTAAATTCTCTTTATATTTGTTATATAGAGCGGAGAGTTTGAGGACGGCTTAAGGTTACATGTTACTGTTGATGTAATACTTTTCTTTTATGCATTTAATGTGAAAACAAGTCAGGAAGTATTAAAAGTAAAAGCACTCAGAAATGTGACTGTTTTACTTTAATTAGATTATTCTCATTAATTTAAAAAAACAGGATTTTAATGTAGTTGTTTGATTTTTAACTATTTAGTATCAGACTGCAACTAATGATTATTTCCTCTGTTAATCCATTGATTGATTGATTTGTATTTTCTGAACTCACAGTGACCCAAAGTGACGCTTTTACAATGTTTGTTTTGTCCAACCAGCAGAAATACATTAAAATAATTCAAATAATTCAAATGAAAAGCAGCAAATTGTCTCATTTGTGAAGCTGAAACCAAGTTTTTACATAAAAAATTAGTCATTATCAAAATATTTCCCACTTAAAGATATAATCTGTAACATTTATTCATTAAAACACTTATAAACTATTAGCTTTATGTTATATATGTAGTTGAGTTGTGTTCTTACATTGAAATGATGTGAGAGACCTCCTAGTGGCAGAAACTACAGATTGTACATTTAATTTTCTGTCTCGCAAACTCTTAAATTGTTCCTTCAAACACACTGAATCTTTTAGGCTTTCAAAGTAACGTTGTGTCCTTTCTCCTCAGTCTCTCTGACTCTAAATCAGTGGAGCGAAAGGTCTGTTAGTGGGGAAATATCGCCATCTATCACACAAATGTTGAGTCACACGGAGCAGATTCATCAGGTAAACATGAATGAATGAATGAAGACAACAACATTATAATATTTGACCAGTTTTTCTTATAAAGAGGAAAAAGTCTGATATGAGTTTGAGGAATTTATAAGAATCCTAAAAGTTTTTATTGGAAAAGAAAAAAGTCCTCAAATAAATTCAGTGTCCCATATTGTTACTGTCCAATTTACAAACTCTTTTCATGTGACTATCAATATTTGGGAGGTTATCAATACATTGTCTCAGTAATTAAGTCCCAATGGTTCCCAACCTGAGGGTCTGGACCCCCACTAGGGGTCGCCAAAGCTTAACGGGGGAGTCGCGAGGACTTCTTGATTTTAATGAGTGTAAGAAAACTTATACAGAGTATTTCAGCATCTGGCAAAGGGACAAGAAAACACTGAATTTGTAAAAAAAAAAAAAAAGATTTATAAAAAAAAATACATAATACAAACAAAAGAAATTTTAAAAAGTTTCCTAAACAGGAAATAATTAATTTAAATCTCTTGTTTTACACAAACTTCCTGCAGTTACTGAGTTCTTTATTTGAGTTCATTGTACAGTTTTTAATATAATCTGAAATATCCATAAAATATGTGACTGAGTCAGTTTAAAGTTTTATTTAGATTTATATATTATATATTTATATATTCAGGGAGCCAGTGATCTGTATCGGCCCGGGGTCGTCGGCTGTGACGTGTGATGGTTTTGCTGTTGAAGTCTGAGAGGTTGAAGGAGACCAATAATGAGTTTGTTTCTACTGGAGGCAGATAACATGTTAAAGAAACAGGGGGAACAGTAGAGGAGAATGGGTGGTACAATACTTTTATAAAGCAGCAGCAGGTGGGTGGAGATGGGGGCTGTGCTGTGGGTGCAGGAGGTGGTAATTAACAGTTGTTTTGTGTTTTTGTGACGTTCATCTGCAGATAGTTGTCCGTGCACCACTGTGTGAAGTGGGGGAGGAGTCTAGATAGCTTAGAAATAACTTATTGTCATGAAGGAGTGCGAGGATGATGGCCGAGGGGCTCGTACAGTGATTGGTGTGGAGGGTAAACAGGAAGGGACTCAGGATGCAGCCCTGTGGGACTCCGGTGTTGGTGATTAAAGTAGAGGATGTTACAGCGGTAACGGTTTGTGGTCTGTCGCTGAGGAAGCTGTGCACCCAGTGGATGAAGAAGGTCAATGAAGAGCAGTCTGGTGAAGTTACCGGGAGAAATGGTGTCGCACAAAGGTTGGAAACTACTGGCTTATTGGTGATTCACTGTATTTAAATATAACTTTAAAGATATTGTCTTTATATGTATAGTATATCATGCACTGTACATACTGTTGTAAATATTTGTGTACCTGTTCCTTAAATCTACAAAATATGTGCAGACATATGGGCCAATGCGTTGATGTAAAGAAACTATTGATATGTAAAAGTACGGTATTTTAACGTCGTACACAGACTGCACACTTACAGGAATTTACTGGCCACTGAGTTGAAGTAATAATACAGTAAAAATGTTAAATAACAAGTAATTATTGTGAATTTACAGTAACTACAGATGATTATTACAATATCATATTGTAATTTCATTTTAATTAATGTATTTTTTACAGAGATATTGTGACCGGTTACTATAGAAACACAATACATTGCTGTGATTTTCATCTATATTACTGTAAAATAAAGACTGGGAATTAACTGTGAAAGTACAATTATATATTTTACATTCAGTCAAAATTTAGTTACGCTCAAAATCGTAAATTTTAACCGCTAAAGAGAGCTATACCCTGTTAGCTAGAGATAGCCACAGCTAGCCTCGACTGAAGCCCCGTAACTGTTAAATAAACTGATAAATATATAAATGTCTGTGCGTTAACATCTTGTTAATTTAATTAATTATCCCACATGAAAAATCAGATACATTAGCACCGCTAAAAAGGTTAGCAGAATAATTTTTAACTAGAAATTTACAATTTGGTGGAGTGGAGCTACTATTTAATGACTTATTTAAACATATTAAGGTGTATATTCATTTATTATATTAATTTAAAGGTAATTATTATTAGTATAATTAAAAAACAAAGTGATGGAAAGCTAAAAGAACAGGTTATATTTACTGATAGTGTTTTTACCTCAATCATATCTTTAAAATATTAACAAAACAACATCATATTAAGGAATTATTTGCTATTATTACCGTTTACCCAGCTGATAACGGCTCTTTGTAGGGCAGTATATATATATATATATTGTTTTAATCAAAAAGACAAAACAGGACAAACGACTCAAAGAAAACTCTTTTTATTTTTTGGTAAATAGCTTAAAAACAGAAACAGTTGAACAAATATTTGAGATGAGACGAGCACAGGAGTTAATTGTTTCATAATTTACACCAAAAAATAAAAAACCTAAATTCAACTACGTCACTGGGCCAGTGACGGGACGCCTCGTTTCAAATTAGCAGCATTTAATCGTCCCGTGTGAGAAGATTCATCCAGTTACAGAATAAAAACAGTGCATCATAAAACTTTAATAATAAATCCAAACATTAGAGTCACTCGTTGACCTCCAGAGGCGTCTGACACCTTTTATCCAGCAGAGGTCAACATTCACAACAATGCCCAATGAGGTTATTAAACTTCACTCACTGGTTTCACTGGTTTCACTGGTTTCACTGGCCCCTTCACAGCGATCAAATCTACCTTCGACCACAATAAAAAACACTAAATAAATAAAAAATATATATAAAAAAAAACAAACACTCAATGAGGAATGTGATGCTTGTAATCCATCAACGTGTGGTTTAATGTAACCTGTGTGTAACATCAGTCGGTCTCATTTTAAAGGAACAGTTTTATGGGAGAAATTCACTTTTTCAGCTGTCGGCTAGTTAGCTTAGCATAAATGAGGAAACGGCTAGCCGGGCTCTGTCCAAGTGTAAAGACATTAAAGTGTGCATTAGATTAAAAACATTTATTCGTTAGTGAGCTTCCAGGTGAAAACACTGTGACAGGAAAAGTTAAAAAAAAATCTAAATTTCCAGGTTTTCCAGGTTTTCCAGGTTTTCCAGGCTGCGTGGGAACCCTGCAGGGAAACTAATTAAAGTTCAATCGAAGTCAAACAGAGTCAGGTTGCTGCTTTTGTGCAGTGGAAAGACTCTGCTACACTAAATCTAACTAATTACTATGATTGGGAATACTTTTGTTTACCCTACTATTAAACACCACAAAAGGCTGCTGTGAAAAAGGCCCAAACAGAATTCATTCAACCAATTTCACCTTAAAAATACAAGATGATTTTCACATGGAAGCAGATATCAGAGTACTTTGAGGCTAGCTGTTTCCCCCCGTTTCCAGTCTTTACGCTAAGCTACGCTAACTAGCCTGTAGCTTCATATTTACCGTGCAGACGTTATTGATCGTCTCGTCTGACTCTCGACACGGAAAGCCTTATTGATCGTCTCGTCTGACTCTCGACACGGAAAGCCAATTAGCACATTTCTCTAAAAACGTCCTTCTAGCTGCTAGCCATAAAAAAAAAACATATATATTGATCCGATATTTCACATTGATCAGTTAGTGCAAACTGTTGAATTAGTTAGTGTGGTGAAGAGCGACTTGCTGCAGTTATCTGAAAAGCACCTGCTCGAGTCTAAAAGTTACGTTGCTTCAGTTAATGCTGAAACGATTAGCTGATTATTGATCACATTGATTCCAGTCTTATCGGCAGAGGTATAAGTATAGTGTATAGGTTTACCTGTCAGGGTTAAAGTGTTTAAAGACTCATCTTTCTGATTTAAAGGCCGTTAAAATACTGTTTATTATGTTTATTTACTTTTTATTATATATATATTATATTATTTATATTTAACAAACAAAACACGTCTTCCTAATTTTTATTGTTTAACTTCCAATTGTTGTGTAATTAAGGTTGTCTCTCTCTCTGTCTGTCTCTCTCTCTGTCTGTTCTGTCTGTCTGTCTGTCTGTCTCTCTCTCTGTCTGTCCTCCGATTCTCGCTTTTTGTTTAACTCTGTGTTTTTCTTTTTATATATTTTATTAAAAATGTGTTTAATAAATTATTATCTTTTATCACTTTATTCTTATTTTTTATTTGTATTTATTTGTTTGTTTTCTGTAAAGTTTTGGGCGTAAAAAAAAGATTTATACTTTAAGCATTTAATATTGTGATTATGTTTTCTTTAACGAACTGAGATAAATTAAAAATAAATAAGACATAATAAAGACATATTTAACATATTTTCTACTGTACTTTCACAGTATTGAGCATTAAACGTCAACCTGCTGGTGTAAAAACAGGCGATCAATAATCTGATTCATCCTCCGGGACCATTAGATAAACTCCCGTCTCCGTCTGGACGAAGGTCGTTTTTAAACTGTGTCTTTACTTCGAGACGTTCTTTTAACACGTCGATCAATAATTTAACAAAACTCTAAATTTTACCACAAACAAACTGAAATTGATAAAAACTAAAACAGGATGGCGCCTTTGTGTTAGTGGATAGAGACGTAATAAAAGATCAGCACGGGAGAGGGTTTCATCCCTCGGAGTATCTGGGCAGGGCGCAGGTGCAGCCCACCGGGATATCGATCACCTCCCTCTTCAGCAGGTATTTATCGCGGTCGGTCGGGCAGGGGCTCCTCTTCAGGACCATCAGCGGCGCTAACATCGGGACCGAGTTGTAGGTGAGGTCTTCGCGCTGGTCGATGATGCAGCCCTGACAGACGCACTCAGCGAAGGCGATCTCGTGAGGGACCCGGTCGTCACTTCGGTTCAGGCTGAGACAGACAGACAGACACCGATCGATCAATAACTGGGAACCAATCACACTGAGGGTCTGACCTGTGTTTGTGATTTCAAACCAAACGTTTTCTCTAAAGTTTAACTTACTGATCAAAGTTTTAACCACAGTCATTAATAATGCTTTAAAGAGTTATTGATCAGCTGATCAAATACAACCACTTTATACTCTTACCAATACATTTATCAATCAATCAACTATGATAAAAACTTTATTGATCCTGGAGGGAAATTCACAAACTACCAATCAGCATATAAAGTGATAAAGATCAATGTTAACCAGCTTCAGCTTTTAACTGATGATTAATCAATAATCAATAATACAGTAATATAAAATACTTTGTTCTGTACTCTAAAATCAATACTTTTACTTTTGGTACTTTAAGTATATTTTTAAGCTGATACTTGAATGAATTACTTTTAAACTGTAGAGTAATAAACTACAGTATTAGTACTTTTACTTTGTAATAGAGTATTATCACACTGCAGTATTAGTACTTTTACTTTGTAATAGAGTATTATTACACTGCAGTATTAGTACTTTTACTTTGTAATAGAGTATTATTGCACTGCAGTATTAGTACTTTTACTTTGTAATAGAGTATTATTACACTGCAGTATTAGTGCTTTTACTTTGTAATAGAGTATCATCACACTGCAGTATTAGTACTTTTACTTTGTAATAGAGTATTATTACACTGCAGTATTAGTGCTTTTACTTTGTAATAGAGTATTATTACACTGCAGTATTAGTGCTTTTACTTTGTAATAGAGTATTATCACACTGCAGTATTAGTACTTTTACTTTGTAATAGAGTATCATCACACTGCAGTATTAGTGCTTTTACTTTGTAATAGAGTATTATCACACTGCAGTATTAGTACTTTTACTTTGTAATAGAGTATCATCACACTGCAGTATTAGTACTTTTACTTTGTAATAGAGTATTATCACACTGCAGTATTAGTACTTTTACTTTGGTACTTTAAGTATATTCTGATGCTGATACTTTAATGAAATACTTTTAAACTGTAGAGTAACTAAAGTAGAAATACTTTTATACTTTTCTTCCCACTGTCGTTATCACTGCGCGCTTTTATCCCCCTCCGGCCGCCGTACTCTCACCCACCTGTACCTCCACGGAGACAAGGAGCGCTTGTTCAGGTCTCCCTGCAGCTCTTCGACCGTCTGCTCGCAGGTCCTCGGCTCCGGTTCCGCGGAGACCTTCAGTTCCGCGGTGTTCCGGTAGGCCCGGAGGAACGCCTCGGCCCGGCTGTCGAACTGCTCCTTGCTGACACATGTGGACCTGGAGGAGGCCTGGTAGAGCAGCAGCGAGCCCAGAGAGATCTACAGAACCATGAAGAACAAACAGACTCCATGAAGAGAGGGAGGGAGGGAGAGAGAGGGAGAGGGAGAGGGAGGGAGAGGGAGAGAGGGAGAGGGAGAGGGAGAGCCATTACCATTTGCAGACTGCACCATGTCATCTTGGACCTTCACAAGTTCGAGGTTTGAGTCCAGCAGCTCCATTGGACCCGGTTTATATAGAGTCTATGTGTGTCTGTAGTTCTGAGGTTGGAAGTTTCTAAAGCGCGTAATACACTTGCTGAGCTCCAAGAGTCTGACCCGCCCCCCGAGCTGGGCGGTGTCAGACTCTGTAGTTTAACTTTAGTAAAAAACACACCTCACTTTTTTTTTTTTCCTGTTTCATCATCGTCCCTGTCCACCCTTTATTATTTTAACCTTTTATTTTAACCTTAGAAAAATTATTATATTGGTTCAAACTGATATTCTATTATATTATAATAATATATTCCAATATTATTATTATATTATTATATTATAATATAATAATAATATAATAATATATTCCAATATTATTATAATATTATTATATTATAGTATAATAATAATAATATAATAATATATTCCAATATTATTATAATATTATGATAATATTATAACATTATTATAATATTATTATATATACAGCATTAAACAAAGAGGAGATTTAAATAACATTAAAACCGTCGTACCTGTCTGTCTCTCTGTGTCTCCTGTCTGTCTGTCTGCAGCCATCTACCAGCCCTCCACCTTCAGTGAGCCGTCTCCCCCTTTAACGCTCATCATCTTCATCTTCATCTTCATCATTGAATGAAACCAACTGAACTCTGAATCTGCGTCAAACGGGACAAAAATTCAAACTTAAACAAAAAAAGATAAAATACATAAAATGAAACGAAACAAATCGAATATTGTTTTTATTTTATTTATATTATTTTAGTTTTTTAACTGCAAAACCAAATCAATATAAAGTAAACAACAAACAAAGTAAATTAAATCATTTATTCATCATATTTATTCTCTATTTTTTATTTTTATTTTAATCTTATCCAAGTGAAAACAAAAACAATACCAAACATTAGTACTACTACTATTGCAATAATAATAATAATAATAATAATAATAAGAATAAGAAGAAGAATTCACAGATGTATAAAACACTGCATATTTATATTATATTTATTTATGTATATTTCTAATAATACTCTAACTATTTATAGTTGTGAGCTGATATAAAGACATGTTTTGCTTATTAATGTACAGTAAACAGACAATTATTACCTTTTATATTTAATGTGAACTATATTGTCATTAATTAACTGTTTATAAACCAGCACAGAGTTAAAGTCTCTAAAGAATACATTAATAAACACTTTATTTTTCATTTCTTAGACTCTATATTAAAGATAAAAGGTACATTGTTATATAAAAATAAATAGTTAATGATCTCCAGGTGTTTACAGGACAGATTGGATACAAAAATAATCAATTTAGCCATAAATCATCAGTTCTGATAATCAATAATCATTCTGGGCATTTTTCATAAAGCAAAAATGTTTCTTAAATGTGAAATTTTTCTGTTTTTCTGTCATTAAACTGAATAAATTTAGGTTTTTAAGGTATTAGTCAAACTTGTAAAGAGCATTTTTTTTTTTTTTTTACTATTTTATGACATTTTATAGCCCCAACGATCAATAAAGACAACAATCATTACATTAATCTATCAATCTATAATGTAAATGATGGTTAGTTGCAGCTGTGAGTGGTCTCCTCTGGGCCGGACTGTAGTCTGGAGGACCTCCACAGGGGGGCGTTCACTAAAAACTGCACTTTATCCTGAACATACCTCTGACAGCTGAAGTTACTTTAAAGATTTTACACAAAAGATCCAGAACATTTACACATTTATTCAAAAAAACATTTACTACATTACTTTTACATTTCAGTATTATAAGCCTGTTATTTGGCATTAATAACCAGTAAATAAATGTTTAATAAAGTGGTTTTAAGAAGCTATACAAAGTCAATAGATCAATATATACTTTATTGATCCTCATGGGGAAATTCAGGCATCCAGTCGCTCAGACTGCGTAAGTACTGACATTATAATGGGGTTAAAAACAGACAAACAATAACAGAATAAATAAATAAGATGATGAATAAAAGTTTATTAATAGATTTGTCAACAACAACAACAACAGATAATGTGTAATAACATATGGAGGAGTTATAGATTAATAAACATTTAATAAAGTCCTATCTGCTTCTAACAACAGTATAATGTTATAAACTGTTGATTAAAGGTGTTATTTTATTGATTGTTTATTCTGTCTCCTCCCCTTCACAACCTGCTGGATATAAATGTCCCTGCCGTCTTTATTTAGACACACAGAAAGATCTGAGTCATGTACCGGCTCACTTCCTGGTTTCAGGTCGGAGTAACACTGCTGCTGTTACAATCAGACAATCAAAGCTTTATTTGTAACGCAGATTTCACACAGTGGAAAGTCAAAGATAAGACAGATGATAAGACTGAATGGAGTAAATATTCATTAATAATTCATTAATTAAAATTATACTAAAAACTCTTTGTTTCTCATTTAAAATCACTATTTTCTTTATCGTTTGTGTCCGTTACTGCACCTTTTATTTCTTCTATCTTATATCTATGAATGTAAATGAGTGTATATTTATAATTTTACTTTTATATGGATGAAAATGAGCGCTGACTGACTGCGGCTCAATAAAAACTAAATAAGGAAACAATTAGAAGGATAAAAAGGATTATAACAAAATCAGCTGATTAAACACGATTGATTTATTGGTATTTGATCAGTTACTGCCAGTTGCACAATGTGCTTGGTGACGTTAATAATAACTCCTGATAAAACTTGAACACTCAGCGTTCTCATTGTCCTGCAGTTTACTTTTCATGACATATAAAAACAGGAAACTTCCTTCAACACATCGCAGAGAGAAAGTGCAGCTTCACTGGTTGAAGCCTCGATACTGCAGGAAAAGGTCACTTTAAGATTAATTAAATAAAAATGTTCCTCCTATAACTTTCAGTTTTAGTCATTTTAAAACAGGTTTTACTTGTATTTTACAGATTTTATGCAGTTTTTAACTATTGGAGGACGTGCAGAGAATAAAAGATGGCAGTGTGAGTGGCTTCAGTTGATTATACAATACGCTCTCTGCTCCAAGCATGCTGCAGCAGACGTGTAACGCCACATCTACGCCACTTGTCTTTTGGCCTAATGCAGCTGTCTGACATGTTTTGCATAATTAAATAATAATATACGGTACATCCTACGAGTCAGGGCCAGATTTTAGAGAGCGAGGGGGGACAATAGGTTGCCGTAAGGACTCTACAGGCTTTATGGGGTGCGACCTCTACCAGGTGAGTTACCCTACGGCACCGACAGAGAGCTTCAGTCCTGCCCTCCTGTCTCATGACGACACAGACACACAGAGACACGCTGGCTGTAACAAGTGGATTGCAACAACCTGGAACTGTCCAAGATGTCTCTAATATTGCAAGTTTCAATACATAAATATAGATGAGATCCCTTTTCTCCTGAACGACCACGCCTACTTTTGATTGAGAACAAATGCAGAAACATTTCCCGCATTTTGCACATCAGGTAATCTAAAAACCTCAGATTTGGATTTTCTTCACTTTCACAAAGAGCGAAGGGCAGTAATTGAAGAGATCTGTGAGTTCAGACCTTGTGCGGAGAAGGATGCAGATGATGTAATGTTGTTAATGATGTTCCTGAGTCAGTGTGAGCAGATTGTGTCTGTAGATCGAAGAGAATCAGTAAAGAGTCTCAGTGGCGGTGTAAATAAAGTTTTTACTGTGTAAAAGTAAGAGCCTACCTTAAAACATCCGTTTTTTTGAATGGAGTTTGGTTTGATACTGTGGATCAGACGGTATTTTAACTTTAATAACTCAAATAAACTGAGCTGACCTTCCTTCTAATAATGAACCTTGTAGAAAGTAAAGTAGAAAGTGGAGATGAAACCATCATGTTTTCTGCTTCTGTTGGCTCTTACCAACAGTGATGTAATTAAGTTTACAGTAAGTAAGTAAGGCCAAAGTACCCGGATGAGCTGCTGAGGGGGATGTACTATAAAGGTATGTGTTATTGTTTAACACACAGCTGGCTGCGAGTGCACAGTAGCCAAAACTGTGCAGCACTCTACTAGTAACAGTATTGCTTTACTAATAGAAAGCAAGCAGTCTAGAGTAGTAGTTCATGTACATAATTCTCATTACAGTTGTGATTAAAATAATGATGCATTAGTGACCTTTCATTACTATTTTCATTGAGCTTGTGCAAGTTATTACTCTTCATTCAGTCACAGAGGAAACTGCAGATCATTCTTCTGCACACTGGGCTCCAGAAACAGGGTTGAAATTACCTAAATAGTGACTGGATGGAAAGCTGAGACACATGCGCCACGACTGCATAAGTCAGTGCCCCAGTAAAGTCTAGAAACACACCTACGGGTTTTTGGGGCTGACGGGGCAGCTGATCCACAGGAATCCTGAGTGAGTAACCGAAGAGGAGGAGCTGGACGATGGCAGAGGGAGCAGGAGCCAGCACAGGAAAGGCAGATATTAGTCAAGGACCAAAAGCAGGAATCACAAAAACACAGAAAGCGAAACTGGAACATAGCGAGCACCAGTAGCTGAACACAGAGGTGAAGAGGTTAATAAGAGCGATGAGCTGCAGCTAGAGGATCTGCACTGACTCCAGCACATGTGCAAACAATCACACAAACACTGAGAGAGAGAGCGAGAGAGAGCGGCTCTAAGAGGGACAGATGTAATATTAGCAAAACTAATTTAATTTGCTTCTTTATTTTGGTGGAGGTTCTGACATGTGAACATCAGGGACAAGTGTTTGTTCTCACACACTGACATCGTTGTAAAAGTAAAGTTACGCAGAAAGTAAAGGGAAAAGTAAAACATTACACACGTCTGAGGACAGATTTTATTTTTAGGTTTTCAAGTGTTGCTATATTTAACTCTATGTGCACAGATTACTACACATGCAGTGAGAGGAAGTGAGTAGAGATTGTCTGACAGCTCTGTAGAGGCTCGGCTAACCCTATGAACCAGACTGGGTATTTCTATTCCCTAAAAGCTGTGCAACCTCAGCTAAAAAGGTTATATAGGTCAATAAACCATAATAATAATACAAAAAACCTGTTTTGCATCAAATTTTATTCAGTAGAAACAGAAATAGTGATATACTGATGATTTCTGAATGTAGAAATAAGAACAGTTCTCATGGATCCTGGAGCCTCCTACCATAGTCCTGCTTGACTCCTATTGCTAATATCACTGATATTACTGTTATTATTA